CTACCACTCGACCCCTGAGGTCAAACCAACAACAGCAGTTAAATGGCCACTTACCTCTTTCTCTGTGGCACCACATCCAGGTCAAGATGAGGTCATAGCAACCACAATCTCTTCCTATCACTCATGCTGACCGCTATTGTTCAGGTGTCTTTAGATCTCTCAGCATAACACACCACTGACCATCAGTCTGGCCACCTGAACTTCCACGAGACCATGTCTGATTCCCTGTATCAAAAGCGTTAAGTAAATAAATCTGTAGCTCAGTCAAAATGCTAATAAAGCCAAAATGGTGTCACTGTAGTACTGTCTGTAATAAAAGCCAGTCTGACTGGCAAGGAAAAGCTTTCATTAGGAAAACAGTAATAATCGGTTTAATTGCTTTAATTACCATGCCAATGAAGAGCACTGCAGAATCACAGCTCACCACCACAGCTGTTGCCAAGAGTGACCTATTTCGCCTCACGTGCTGCCAGTTAGTGGCCATGAAAAGAACTGCAGCCTGGGTACATCTTGCTTGCTCTGTCCTCTATTTCTGAGTCTGCTCCCCTTCTAGCATTGAGATGACCTTTGATAAGAAGCAGCACAAAAATTTTCAATGATTTGTAGCCTTTGAAGTGCCTTAATTCAAAGCAGTTGCTTTTCAGCTATTGACTATTCTATTCATACTTTTTCTAGCGTTAAGAGTCACCTTCTAAAACAAACACACCCTGTATAAAAATTTGGGCTTTCTCCAGGGTCATTGCTTGGGTATCTACCTGACCCTCCGATGTCCTGCGTGTCCTGGTCATTGTCAGTGCTTACAGTGAGTGGAAAACTCATTTGGGCCTAATTAATTTTTCGCAGGGCCTCAGTGCTCCAGTTACCGCTCCAGACCTATGCCAAAGAACCAGGAAAAGGCCTCCAGAAGACATCCAACACTTCACACCGGACAAGTCAGAGGGCATCGCACAAAAGCATCTGGGGAACCCATTGTGGAACATGCGGGGTCAAGTATAGGTTAGGACGATGTTTTAATTAGGAGTCATAACTTATACATGATTTCTTTTCCTTATGGCCAAAAAATGATAATAGGTTTCTCCTGAGTGCTTCAGCCAAGACGGCAACAAAGGTGAGGCCATTGTGTACGGTCAAGAGGGGTAAAATGTAAAGAAATGGTCCAGGTACATTTGCTTCATGTAGTGAGTTCAACATAGAGGGCAATATTGTGTTTAGGCCCACCCCACCATGCATTCCTGCCCACAGACAATACAGGGTCAGGAGTTAGTTACCTCATCCTGCCAGAGCAAGGCCTTCCGCAAAAGGCTATAAACCCTTACAATACAACTGGGATACTTCTGATATCACAGATCAACAAAATGAGACTTGTTGATGTGGTGGATTTGTAAACCAAGACGTGATCTTTCATAATTCTGCTACACAGGTTTCAGAAATGTTACCAATCTATTCCCATCACGCCAGGTTTTTCTCCCAATCGATGAAAGGAAAAAGCCAACATATTACTGCACCCCAGCACTAACTTAACTCCAGATAATGCTCTATCAAATGAAATAGAGAGAAAAGAGTAAAGAATATACAGGGTAAAATACAATACAATAATATACAACTCAATTTCCAGAGTTATTTTGTAGTTCTTGTTTTCTTTTGTTTTTTGTTGGAGGATATTTTGTCCCCATGGTTTTACATGTTTTTATACTTTAACTTACCAACATTTGCAACCATCATGTTCACTTTGCAGTAACCCTGGGTTTTATTATGGGATTTTCTTTCTCACATAGAAATTAATTTCACTTTTTTAAAAATGTAATGAAAAAAAAATCACAGTTGTACAAAAATGTATGAAAATTTGGCCTATTTTTTGTGGTGAACATTAGCAAAGAACAGCTATAACTGTGTAACATTAGATGCCAGAAATCTTCCTTATGAAAAAGACAGCAATAATCTACAGGAATTTCTACAGAATTGCTAGTTTCCTTAAGAAATAGATTTAGTATAGTATACTATTTAAGTATATTAGTTAGATTACTATACGACTGTGCTACATAAATTAGCATAGCTAGGCCTACTAGCCAGCACTGTAACGTTATATAGCTCACTGTTCATTGTATTATACAGATATATCTATATATACAGACCTCCTTTTGTTTCCTTTTCCAAGAAACCTACACCAAAACTTGATTACATTTCCTGTAAGTCTACTGTAAACGTCCATTCGTTTGGGAAAGTTTTCTAGTTCGCGTTAACCGGCCATCAGGGATCAGGCCATGATGTGAACTGCTGTCTAACCAAGCTAAGACTGGATGTGTCACATAAATTATGTAGGATTACTCGCCTATAAAACGTTTGATATGGAGAAACCACGGAGTAGAAGTCCCGACCTCGGAGAAAACAGGCTTTAATGTGTGAGAGATGTTTAACGACACCGCGGTTAGTGAGCTTTTAGCAAAATAGCTACAGCTTAATGGGCAATTACATTAACAAATTGTTTTATGCACTAACCAGGAACACGTGTTACATTGTTCCGCCACCTGGTGGTCATTAGCAATAATGCAGGATAAAAACATTGGGACTGGTAACTCTGCTTACTACCAGACTCTTACAAATAAAACCCATCACTACTTGATAATTTAAAGAAAAGTTTATTGTGTAGGTATAGTTGATGCCTGGTGTGTGAAAAACACCGTGTATGTGCGTGTTTTGCCTCCCCCAAAAAACTCTGGGTTTTTTGTATTACGTGGCAACAGGGCTTGAAACCGCCAGTGAAAATGCGTTTAAAGAAAATTAAAAGTGATTTTAAAAGTTTGAATTTGTTAAAATAATTGTTGAATGTCATAAGGAAAGTAAAATATAATATCCTAATTACGATTTCAGTTCAACCTGTGATGGGACCAAGACGCTCAGATTATTGAGCTTTTGGCGCCCCCTAATGGTAAAAGTGAGCGAGAACACCTCGATCACTGAATCCTGTGATACGGTGATCAAAGCTTTAAATCTGTAAAAATAAGAATTAAATAAATAAAAAAAAATATTCATCAGATTCTTTAGAGCTTCTGTCCTGTGGTTCTGCACACTGGACAGAAATCAATACTGCGTTCAAACGTTTGGACTTGCCATGTGAACAATGTTACTTTATATACAATAATTTGCACAACATGGATTTAAACATTAAAAACTATTTGCCAGTCTTTTATTTGTTTTATGCAATATTTCACAAATTCTGTAAATAAGAATAAAATGAAAAATCCAAAACCTATTTACAAGTTTTTGTTTTGTTTTTCGCTGCTGTAAGATTTGATCTCCACTTTTGAAATATGATGAATCCTGGACATAGTTTTATTAAATTCATGTTATAAAGCTGTTTGCCACTTTAGAACCTTCTGCAGCTCTGTTCAACATTCTGGACACATCTACTTTTACTTGTGTTTTATTTACAAACAACCTTCTGGTGCCCTACTATTAATCCAAAATCTGTCAAGTTGCACAAAATTAGCATGTGGAAACATTTTATACATTCATTTGCTAACAAGTTGGTTTTATATGATTGAAAACAGCAATTCAAATCATTTTTTACACATTTTTAGATGCAAAAACAATATGCATCAAATGAGTCACTAACAGAAAAGGCAAAATAACGAAGGGTCAAACAGCATGTTCATGAGAATTAAAACTTTTTATTAGTGTATTTATGAAGTCTGCATATGCAACACGCCTGAAAAGCTTATCGCCTGATAACGTTCACGTCCTACCAATACATCTCTCTAATGGTAAAATAAGCTCACCAACTGTTAAATGCTTTGCCAAAAAAGAAAATAAAAGTAAAATAAAATTATATATACACATATACTGTATATGCATATATGTCTGGGCCACTTAACAGTTCTATTTGGTATCCTCTCCACACCCAGTCAAAAAAGGGCAAGCAGAGCGTTCCCAGTGTCTTAATGGCCTCCGCTTTAGGTTTCACACAGGCCATGATCACTGTCTTTTCCACACTAGTTGCACTTAAAGTACAATCGCAAGTGTAATAAGATCAACGAAACTAAAGAGAGACAAAGGTGGGAGAAGGGGAATGGATATTTCAAACATCTTGCCACTGTCACAACAAGTAAAGAAAGGCAGACAGCTAGATCACAGTCATTAGTAAGTTGTACAACAAGCACACACACTAAAGTTGCACAATTCTCCTTGTAAGAAGCAAATCATTTTAAGAGTCTTTTTTTTCCCCAATTGCAAGCAAATAGAACACTGCCATGTTTCTGCAACATCTGACGTTAGGTAGATGTTTTCCTTGCTGAAGAACCATAGGTTGTGGAAAAGCATCCAGGGCAGGCAAAGTGTCATTTGTCCAGAAGCCAAAAAAAGAGTTTTTTATTTCCTAACCATAATAGAAATAAAACAACCTAAACATGCCAGAGGCATATTTATGTTAATGAATAGGTAGGTAAATATTAGGGGCAAGATGTTCGGACAACAGCTTGAATTGGAAACAGGAGAATATAAAGATACTGTTCGTGAAAGAGTTCTACTAACAATTTTTTCGTATGATAGGACATTTCATTATGAAGCCATGTTGCGTTAAAAAGAGGGCATGATCTAAAAAAATATTCAATTCTAATAAAAAGGAAGAGAGCATTAAAGATTTTAAATATATTTATATATAAAAATACATGAAAATACAAAAAGTAGCTAAAAGAAAGATAAAGGAAAAAAATCTTGTGATTGTGAAGAATAACCTACTTTATTAACACTTAAAGCTTAAAAGGTTGGAATTTTTTTTGAAAGATTTGGATTGTGTGATCATTTTTATCAATTTTTTTTTATTTTTGCTCATACTTAAAAAGAAACCGTTTTCTAAGAAAAGGAAACCAGACTCCAAAACCACTCCACGGCGATCTAGTGAGCATTTCACCTAATGAACAAAACGGCAGCAGGGAGCGGCAATATGGGCTTCTACAGATATTGGGGAGAAAGAAAGAAAAAAAAAAATTGGTCCAGGTTTTTTCTTCCTTTTTCTTTTTGTTTTTGCTTGGTTTCCTTTTTGTTAAAACATTCCTATCTGTTCACGTTATATTTCAAAAGAAGCATGCCATACAACAGCACACTCCAAGTCAAAGGCAACATTCTTTTATAGTGGTTGGGCGCAGCAATCGTGAATTGTAAATGATTAAGGTGTCTTTTGGCAATACTGTCAAGAATCGAAGGTTTGGGGGGGGGCGCTAGGTGCAATAAAACTTTGACCTTGTTGATTAGTCTCAGCAATGATATCAAGGTTAAAAGGTATACGACTTTTTGCCAGCAAAAGTAAGCTTTGTTAGGCAAAGTATTTCAGGAAAAAAAAAATATTTACGGCAAAAAGTTTGTGGTCACTTCATCGAGGGGAGGGAATGCTTTACTGAAACATTTGTGCCAAGTTATCAACTGTCTTCTGGTACTTCTCTATTACAGACACACCTTCCCTGGTCTTCATTTATCAAAATGAAAATATCAAAATCAATATACATTTCAAATTCTATCACTAATACATTTAATATTGAGGATTTTAGGAGGGAAAAAAATAAAAAGAGCGAATAAAAGGTGCATGAAGCTGATGTGACAGCAAGTGCCATGTTCAGTTCCGAACAGTGAGAACGTCAGGAATGAGAGAGCAAGACAGAGAGATAAAGAGAGAGACAGAGAGCGAGAGACAAGTACTATGAGTGGGGGATTATAGCAAGTCTGTTGTTCTTCTAAGTTGTCATTTGTTGTGATTGTAGAATTTGTCATTTTCGAGGGTGGGGGTCGTTGTCTTGGTGATTAGGACATACTGGAGCAGCGGACAGTGGGAGAGCCCATTTGGGTCAGAACCTTGTCTAGCCACTGCAGCGGACCGTTCAAGTGCAGCTCGATCCAGCACGGAGTGCTCGTCACAGTCTGCCGTCTGACACACAGACACATACATCAGAATCAGTTCATGTTTTCTATACATAACATGTTTTACAAACCAAATAGCGACTCATTAAGACCTTTCTAACAATAAATTTACTACAAACCCAATTCCAAAGAAGTTGGGACAGTAGGTAATATCCAAATACAAACAAAAAGCAATAAATTTGCTAATCTTTCTTGACCTGTATTCAATTGAAAACAGTACAAAGAACAAACATAAACGTTTCAACTAATTTGTCTAAATGCTGCTGAATGTACACGCTTATTCTAAACTTGATGCCTGCAACATAATCCAAAAAAAGTTGAGACAGGAGCCTTTTTACATAACCTTTCCTTTCAATGACAGTTTAGTAGTCATTTGGGATCTGAGAACACAAATTGTTGTAATTGTGAAAGCAGAATTTCTTTTTCCTTCCTCACTTGATATAAGACTTCAGGTGTTCAACAGTCTGGGGTCTCGCTGTTGTATATTGTGCTTTATAATGCGCCACACATTTTTTGTGGGTAACCGTTCTGGATTGCAGGCAGGCCAGTCTAGCACCTGCACTCTGTTTCAATGAAGCCACAATGTTGTAACACATGCAGAATATGCATACTGGGCTTAACAAGGAGGGTGCAAGATACCCATGCCATTCGCACTATCACACCACCATGCCATGAGAGACAGCGTTTTTTGATCTTTACAATGGTAACATCGGGGGTGGTCTTTTTTCCTCTTTTGCCTGGAGAGCACAATGTGAATAATTTCCATAAACAATTAGTAAGGTGTCAAACCACAATAAATGTTTCCACTTTGCGTCAGTCCATCAGAGATGACCTTTAGCCCAGGGAAGTTGGCGGTGTTTCAGGACACCGTTTATATACGGCTTCCGCGGAATTACAGAAACACATCTTTTTAATGCAGTGCAGTCTGAGGGCTTGACAATCATATGCATTCAGTAATGGTTTGAGACAGCACACAAAGAACTCTCCAGATTCCCTGAATCTTTTGATATCAGAGATGATATCAGAGTGGTTAAAAAAGGTGAAAATATTGTGTGGCTAGAGAAACAACTGAAAACACCCACAAACCAATCTGCATCAGCCCAACATCAGATTAAATATAACATAGGTGTGATTTTCAAAACCAAGGAATACGTCTGTTATTTGTCACAAAACCCAACATACTGGAATTTGACACTTTTACATTTCTCTACCACGTCACCTTAGAAAAACTGTGGGCTACACAGGCAGCTACCTAGCTTAAGCTAACTACCTAGCTAGCCAAGCCAGCTACACTGACCAACTGTCATACCTTTAACACTGATTATTGCTGTTACTGACCTCCCTGGGATCCTAAGCAAAATTCTACAAAGCGGCCCTCCTACCTGACCCATGTAAATCATTTGCAACTGCCACACTGTCGCCCCTGACACCCCGGTGCTCCCACTACAATCCTCCCTCCTTTATAACAATTTGTTCCATGTCAGTCTAAGAATAATTAGACTTATACATAACAGAATGAGGTACAAACAAATTATTTATAGTTATAGATAATACTACTATTAATTTTATCAGCTGCATCAGGCCCATTTAAAGTGGCTCCCCCACATTTCCTTTTACACACTTTCAACTATAAAATACTACTTATACTATGGCTTGGCTGAATATTTGATGGTTATTATTTACTGAGAGATGTGCATCCATATTGCCCAGCAGGCCCTGCTAATCAACATTTTAAATTGAGTATTTAATTAATATTGTCAACCCAGCTTTCTTTTTGCATTAGTTGTAAATAAACCTTAAACTGAGAGATGAGATAATCATTGTCTTGTTTTAAAATGATGTGCGCCTATCATGCCCATATTCTGTCTGGACTGGACTGGTCTCTACAGAGGCTGCTGCTGCGAGTCTCATTTAGTGCACACGCATTTACAGGGGACGCGATTATCTTTTCTGAGCTACAGTTAGTAAACACCGCTGCTCGTTGGCATTAAAATGCAATAAATAGCTGTATTCCACTTTGACATCAAACGCTGAAACGAGAGAAGTTTACCTGATGCCTATTCCCACAATTCACTCGTGCATAGTTTCGGTTCATCTGCCCATCTTTGACACAAGGGGAACGGGGGGCCCTTGTGTGTTTTGCAGGGCCCTACGCAACATGCATAGTGAGCGTACAGGGCCGAAAGGCTTCGATTGTTATTAATAATCTTTTTCGTCTGCTAGAATTAATAGAATAAGCTCAACTGACCTCACATTTGGCAGAATCCTCAGTCCTTTTCATTTCCTCAGTATAGGAGAATGAAGAACAATATACTGATGCCTTTCCTGCCAGCATTCTGCACAGACCCACCTAGTCTGCCTCTGATTGACTAGTACTCGTTGCCATCATTAGGTGTCTCAACCCACTTTGGGGGACACGGCTGTGACTGTGTTCGTTTAAAACATCACACAGGTAAAGTTTGGCAAGAATATATATCAAGGAGAAATGTTTAAAGTGACCGACAGCTTTGCATCCGAATACCAATAACACTTCTCTATGAGAGGAGAGCCTTGTTTACTGCAAGCTTGAGTTATTTGTTCATTAGCATGGCAGTGTACACTAGGCTTATGTCACATGGTATCACCTGGTATCGGATGTTGGTATTAGTGAATTTTTATGAGGTTGAGTACAAGCAAATGAGCATCGTATCGGCCCTATACTTGATAGCAGTATAAGTATCAATGCATCCCTACTCGTAAAAGGTGAGGCCTTTCTGCAGACATCAGTTTCAGAATGAGCATATTTTTACAAAAAATAATGAAACTCAAAAGTTGATTTTATTTGCATTTTACTTACTGTCCCAACTTTTTTGTAATTGGGTTCGTATTATAATTACTACCTGATTATCAACATCCCTACCTGTACTCAGCCCCCCAGCCTTTGACAAAGCTCATGCGAATGGTGCACATTCTGGTCAGCTGATAGACAGCCTCAAAGCCCTGGTTCACCGACTGGGCCAAGAGGGCAGCAAACTCCTGGTTGTTGAAGATCTTCAGGTTACAGCCTAGGAAGAAAGACATAACATCAAACAGGGATGTCCTAAACTGAACTGAAATCAGTACTGCTCAATATTGTAGCTACCACCCGGAATATTCAAAAATGTTAAGTCTCTGCCATTTTGCCGTATTTCCCTCTCACAGAAAACATGAATCTATAGGATGTCAGGATTTGCTGCTCAATGCAGTGCCACATAGAGCAAATGGCCCACCACTCATTCACCCAGCCTTCATACTTTCACCGCCATAGCTGCAGTTTCGTATGGACGTTTCAGAGGGACAAGACTGTGTAAAACAGCAATGTAACATCACATATCGCAGTACTAAATTTTGTTTAGTGCCTAATTCAGCAGACAGTCATTTCATATTGGCCCTCTCTCATGTAAACAGGCTTTTGGGGACTAAAAGGACGATATCCCGTTGAGCATACTGCTATCAGGCTAACTGAGTCCAATAACATTTAGAGAGAGACAGTAAAAAACCAAATAGTAACATCCAAAGTAAAGAACAAATGTTATAGAAACATCTGTTAAAAGCTTCAAATATCTGTGTTTAAGCTAGAGAACTTCGGTGAAAAAAGCTGATTTAACCACTGTTAGCTTTGTACCAACATAATACTGAAAATCACATTAACAAGAGAAAATTTGCAACGAGATCAAGGGTCATCAAATCCTTTACAGAAGAGGACAGGGTTAAGACTAAAGTAAGGTGTTATTTTATATTTTTCACCATTAAGGCTATTTACACAATGGTTGTAGAAGGAGACAAACCACAACTTACACCAATGAGGCTCATTTTCAGAGGTGAACACAGTTTAAATGTCAGTGTGAAACTACTTTAAAATGAAAAACCAAAACAGCCCAGCAGCCACTTGTAATATCTACAATGCCACTGTTGTTAACCTAGCCACCTTCTGTAACACATGTAAACTTGAGTGCCCAGCTCAAGCAGTAACACTTATATTAGGCTACTTCACATGCTGGACAAACTTGAATAACAGTGTCAGTTTAAAGTGTCACACTATGAACACGCTAAACAATATTTTAAAGTAACTGTCAGATTAAAAGATCAGGGCAAGAAAACTTGATTGACACAATGTTAATCATATTATTCACATCAGATTGTTCGAACTAACAACCACACACAAGCTCAGGTTGAGTAGCACTGAGAGAAAGGAAAGGTCTCCAAATAAAACCATGGCTGGACGAGCACACATGCAGCTTACCTGGGGGGATTTTGCAGACAGTCGCAGGGTGCCAGCCATACCTCTGGTTACAGTTGGGGCTTTGAACAAAGATGGCACTGTCACTAAGACACTCAGCAAACACTTCTCCACCGATGTAATACAGCCTGACTCCTCGGCCTGCACACATCATCAACAACAGCGTAAACGGGACCACAAATACTAACCCATTAACAGATACATTAGTCCATTTCTTTCCTTTGATGGGATGGAAACGTTTCTCCTTGGTAACAGCACTTCTACTGATCCTGCTTGTGTGATCTGTGTAAAGTGCCCAACCAAAATCATATACCTTATTATTTAAAAAAAAAATAAAAAAAAATTATCTGCCAATACCAATAAGATAAATGATATCCCCATACTTAAAGCGCTATTCAGATTGGATTAGTTTATCAGGAGCTGTCTGCACCTTTTTTTTGTGTTTTTTTTTGTTTGTTTGTTTTTTTTTTTAAACACATCTCCTCAGTTGTGAAACTCTCGCATGCAGATGTCAAATTACCACCGGGCGAGAGAAATTCTTTTGGTTGTATTTTATTTTGATCAGAATTGAGCATCAGGTCCTTAAGAAACGGAGTGACACAACTAGTCATTATTTATAGAGAACTTTTTAAAAAAAAAGTTAGACATAATGCTTCATATCTGTAGTTACCATTGTAATTGCCCCTTTATACTTATAGCTTATTGTAATTGACCTATTAACGAGTCTACAGAATCTTACTTTTCTTTCACAATGATTTTTTCTTCGTATACTCCTGATAATGATACCCAGGTGGAGTTGATGTTTCATCACTCAGACCAAGTTTATGGTTGACTGAGCCTTCAAAACCATCCAGTTTCCGTTTCGGAAAATCTTTTTACCCCCAGCACGAGGCAACATTTGCCTGGAAAAACACGGAGATGTGTATCTGGACGGAACTAAAATTATCAGAGCACTACTGAGTTTGGTGAAAAAAGTAGGTAATTTGGCCTGTAGTTTTTTTTTAAGAGGAGATGGGCTTAAAAACAACAACATAGTCAACCTGGATGGCAATAAAAGTAACTGTAAAGAGAAGCACCAAAAAGCACCTGTAAGAGAGTAGAAATCACTGCAGGACCACATGTAAGCTTAATGCCGTTTGAATAGGAATTAAGGCAGAATTATTACTCATGAGCTTAAGAAACTTCACAAAAGAAAACAGAATAATATTTGACAGTTAACAACACACAATATGATCAAAAGTATGTGGACACCACACAACTGCACCTATATGAGGGGAAGGCCTTTTACAAAAAATTAGGAGGGTGTCTGTGGGAATTTGTGCTCATTCAGTCAAAAGAGCACTTGTGAGGTCAGGCACTCATGTTGGATGAGAAAGGCTGACTCGCAAGCAATGGTCCCATTTATCCCGAAGGTGTTCAGTGGGGTTGAGGTCAGGGCTCTGCAGGCACTGTACAGTAGCGTTCCTCTACACCGAACTTGTCAAACCATGTCTTTATGGAGCTTGCTTTTTGCAGTGGCACATACACATACAGGGCTTTCCCACTGTTGCCAGTGTTGGAAACAAATAGTTGTCTAAAATGTCTTGTGTGCTGTAACGTTAAGATTACCCTCCCGAGGCACAGTTCTTGTGCTGATGTTACTTTCAGAGGCAGCTTGGAACTCTGTAGTTAGTGATGCAACAGAGGACGGGTCATTATCACATGCTACATATTTATACACTCGCTGATCCCACTCTACCATTGGGTGGTCTACAGTTTCATGGCAGAGCTGTTAATTCTCCTAGATGCTACTGTTTCACACTCACATTTGACCATGGCAGATCTAGCATTGCAGAAATTTCGCAAAATGACTTGTAGCAATAAGAGCACCTTATAATAGTGCAAAATTTTAACTCACTGAGCTCTTCCATAAGACCAATTCTACTGCCAATGTTTGTCTATGGAGACTGCATGGCTATGTGCTTAATTTTACACACTTGTTAGCAGTTTGGCTGAAACACCTGAACCCAATAATTAAGAGGGGTGTCCCCACACCTTTGGCCACATAGTGTATCAGGAAGTAAAACACTAACACTACTGAAATCTTTTTTTGACCACAAAACAACACTGGCCAACATCATTAATTATCTGAATTTTTAGCTTCTGTACATCAGTTAAACACCTATATTGGCCATAAAGGCCCTAGTGTATACCTATGTGTCTCCGGGTCATCTCCACAGTGGCATTGCGGTTAACGTTGGACAGGAGGCCCAGACAGAAGCGTTCAGAGTTGGAGGGGTCCGTGAAGCCGTCCACAGTGAGGGAGGGCTGCGAGGCATGGAATGTCTCCCCCACCCGCTGGTTCAACTCATAGTAGGCTATGGAGCACCAGAAGGCAGGCTCTGAATAGGTCACCGGCTGCAGATCTACAATAAAGACAAGACACACGGTTCTCAAATTTGTAATAATAATAATAATAATAATAATATTATAAAAAAAAAGTTGTGCTTAAGCTCTAAACTGATTTCTGATCATTTTCATAATGAGTGCTGCTAAATCTGAGCATAGCACTGAAAGCAGTGTGGGTTCAGGAAGATGATGTAACAGGTTGCCCTTACCCATGCCATGATTGACGGGCGAGAGCGTGCTCGGCGACAGTTCTGCAGGAGAGCCTGGCCAAGAAAATAGAAAATGTATTTTTAACACTTCAACACATTCCAAGACAAACTGAGCGCCTACACACCAAAGAACCACAGGGATAAAAATAAGCCCACTCTTCCTTTCTACTTTCAATCCTAATTGACTTTAATGGACACAAATGTTTATTTTTAAGTATTATAATGTAAATATTAAACATCAGAGTCTAGCAAAAGCTGAACAAGACTACCACAGTAAGAGCATGAAATACTTTACTGGCTAAAAGGCACAAACACACACACACACACACACACACACACACACACACACACACACACACACACACAGCCATTCCCATGTAGTGTTAGACACTGTGGGAATGTACCTGTGTCCATACTTTGATTCAACTGCTGGTCACTGGTCTCTCCATCCTCACTGATGTAGCCTGGCGGAGGAGTCTCTGTGGATGGACCAAAAACACCACACAACATACACGCTTACTATATTTTGCATATGCACACTGGCATGAAAAATGACAACTCATGCTGCAGTTCCTCTGTAATCAGCTAATATACAAATAGATGGGATGAGGACACTGTAAACACATGATTTCAGTAAAAGATGCCATAGAAAGAAAGGCATGCTGGGTACCTGGTATGTAGTTGTTAGGGGGTTCAATCCCAGCAGGAAAGTTGGTGTTTTCAGGAATGTTATGGGTGTAGTCATCCAGAGGAGGCAGCTCAGTCAGAATCTCCGTGTGTCTTGGCACTAGGACAGGAGGAAGGACTACAGAAGCAAGCATTCAAAACCAATGCATTAGGTAAGAATCAGAGAAACTGTTAAAATAACAGAACAATTGTTTTTGGAACATGCTGCACAAATGTTTACATGTTGCATTTTCCACACAATAACATATTAAAAGCTAAGCAGCTTTAAGTTACTATAAATGTTCATCCCCCAAAAATTTGATTTACAGTGTAAAGCCTTTAAAATTCAGGAAGCTGACTAGAGCAACCAAGAGAACCAATTTAACATATTTAAAGCATGCTTTTCTGCACCTGGTGTCTCCACCCGCTGGTAGTGGTAGGGGTTGACGCACACCTCGTCCTTTTTGAGGTTGAAGGCGTACTCGCAGGTATCGATGGCGCGTAGCTCATGGTGGCTGTGCAGGTCCGGCCATCGCCAGAGACGACAGTAGATGACATGAGGCAGCCCCTTACGGTGAGACACCTGCAGACGGCCATCCAGGGATCTGACACGGGCACACACAGGAGAGGAGAGACAGAGATAGAGAAAGAGAAAGAGAGAGAGAGAGAAACAGAGAGAGAGAGAAACAGAGAGATAGAAAGAAAACAGAGGAGTAGAGGGAACGTGCCAAATGGTCAGAGGAAGAAGAACATGGATGGAGAGAGGGAAGAGATTTGGTTTAGACCTAAAACAAGCCTGTCAAGTACCAAAAGTGTAACTTTTTAAATAGTATTACAACTACAAAAAATAACTACCATTAAGCTTGTCCCTAAGAGGATGAGAGTGTATGAATAAGAAAAACGTGCTAAACAATAAACTAAACAAGTTTAACTCAGCTAATACTTAGCATTTTAAATAAGATCTCAAATTTTAATCCTTCACTTAGATTAAAATCACTAAGAAAGGCCTGAAAAGTTAAAGTGAAATACACAGCCCCTGGAGGAAGAGAACAGGAAGGCTTCTGCGCTCTCTCTCCGAACCTGAGTGGACCGGATCCCACGGCACGGGTGAGTGCAGCACAATGACAGGAGAGGATAGTCACCTGGTTTGGTCAGGGTAGCTGTATAGGCCTGAGGTATCCCACTGTTCTATCGTATTTGGTGTACTCAGTCCCCAAATTTCAGAGCAATTGCTGTGCACAGAAAAGTAAAAAAAAACAAAAAGAAAAAGAAAAAAAAACAAACAAAAAACACAAACAAACAAAAAATGATAAACATGGGGCATGATTCATTCAAAAATACCAAGGTGATGTACAATGGTGGGATATAAAATGTGTTTTTTCTTTTATTGGAGATGTTCTGCGTCTGGAGGCTGCAATGCAGTTCACCTCAAATAAAAGAAGCCACTCAAATGGACGAACCACAATACGACAGTGAGATGAGGGAAAAAAAAACAGGACAAACTGACAAATGTACTTCAATAATTACAGTGTGTTACAGTTCGGCCGCTATGTTACAATGGAATTAAAGTGAGTTGAGGAAATGTTAAGAGATAGTTTTCATGGCGGGTTGGATTAGACAGTTTAACATTTAAACATGCAGTACAGGACATAAATGAGTTGAAAACAGAATGATATTTTTCTAAAAAATACTACATTTTCATTCAAACTTTGTTAGACATGTACAAAACCTTGGGCAACCTTTGAAAAAAAAATAAAGTTTAAAAGACATCACTGCTGTATTTCTACAAAAGTAATTAATTAATTGATTTCAAACATATTAAGTTGAAAAAATGACATGGTGTAGTTAGGAAAAGCAAACGTCTTCAGCAAGTGTTGTTTTCCATACATCTCTATTCTGTTCCTTTCAGGAGTCTTGAGTATTCTATAGTCAGGAGGAATGGGGCACTCATAATGCTTTTTAGTTTGCTTTACATGGTTACCAAATAAGTAAAACTAATGCATGATTTTCAAGCCATCATTCAACAAATGTCAAGCTATCTATCGAGCAGTTGCTAAATGTTACAGTGCTGCTAACTAGGAGAGAGGAACTGGTTAGCATTAGCTTTGCTAGCAGGCTAAAAGCTTTGCCAAACCAAAACATTTTCATGATTCTGGCTTACTAATACATGGAACACAGGTTTAGATGATTAAAAAATAATGATTCAAATCTGAGAGAGTGAAACTGAGCAACCACTGAAGGGAGGAAAGACGAAATTAAACCTGTTCTGTGGTGTTTGGATCTGTACGCTGACAGGCTACCTTACGGTTAGCTTAGTGAGCAGGCTGCAGACCTGAACAGTGCCACCCATGACAAGAGTACAAAAGTACAGTGGCAGTAAGCTGAAATCGAACCTGTTCTGTAGTGTTCTGTTGCTTAAATGACATCAAGTTAGAGGACAACAGAAAGTCAAATGACTGGTGTTGGAGTGAAGTGCAGTGTGTGCAGAGAAAATGCGATTTTGTGTAGCTCTTTGCCGTAGCTGAGATGCTGTCATTATGGCTCTGATTTCCCCCCTTTTTGTTAGCGCCACCCATCAGTGAGCTCCCACACTAATCAATGAGCCCTCTAAAACCTAAACAATAAATTTGACACGGCAGAAAAGGAGGTTGGTTAAACTGGAATTCTGATTGATCATTATCAAAAACAGAATTTCAAATGTGTCACATCTCAGTTTTTTTTTGGCTTATTTATTAATAATGATTTTAATACTGAAAGTACATTGTGCAGTTATTTTGGGTGAGACAATAACAAAAGGGGATTTGGCCCTAATCATACTGCAAGCAGTGATGTTTCAATGTCTTATCTCTCATCATTATTGGGGCCTTATATTAGGGGGTAGAATGACGACCAGTGGTGCTTTCTATGCTGAAATTCTTTCATTAATTGATTAGAATACATAACCTGTGTGTAGGAAACCTTCTGGAATCTAAAGGCAATAGAGGAAAAAAAAAAATAATCAAAGAAGAGTCCAACTGAAAAAGCATTATTTGGTTACCTTCACTGAACCTCAGAGTATTAAATCCCCTACTACCTGAAGTGAAAGGGCAATGAGGGTGACGCTCATGCAGTGGCGTTACCCGAGATATTGAATGATACTCTGCTTCGGATATAATGTGTCCCTTTCCTTCAGGATATTAACTTCTTATTATGTGCCAGGGAAAAGCTTGATAAATTGATGGGTAATTTTATTCCTCACAGGCGGTTCACTGACGAATAAAAATCTGCCCAAACCCTGCCCACTATTTTTTTGAGCAATTAAGCAGTGATCAAAGAGCACATCACTGAGAACTGTAGTAGCAGGCGTTAGCAGCAAATAACAAACTACATAAAAACCAAAAGACCAAAAAAATCTTTTTCCAATCACTGTACCCAAAATAAATGTTTTGTATGCTTACAATGTTTTGCCACAGTGCTGGAGTTTGCATGGCAATGAGAAAATGAGGCAAAGGGCAAAATCAAAAATAAAGGCCAGTAAAGAAGTGAAACTACCCACGTTCACATTAAGTGAAATGAGCTGTGTTAGGGGAAGGGGGCTTAGTTTCAACATCACAGTAGCTGGAAGATTTCTCAACAACCTCCTCGAATACACAAAAGCATAGTTGCTAAACAGAATACAAACCTTAAATTAACAATCACTCTTCCAAACCAAGAGACCAATCATTATTTAATATTTCAAATATGCTCCTTCTATTATTCCAATATAATCAACGGTGACCATTGTGATAATAGCCATTTACTGCATACACAAAGCTACTTAAAAATGACATAGCTCATATCACTATCTCTCTTTTCTACTCTTAATATGGACTATCCACATGTGAAAAGAAAAATATTTAAAGTACTAAAAGGTTTATGCCAACAAGAATGCATGTTTATTGGCAGTCATCCAAATATATGCAATACACTGTTCTACTCCAAACACGCCATTTTTAGAATCGCTTTTAAGTCTAATTCTTAACAGAATAGCTGTAGCTTTGCATACTTAAGGTTGAATTGAGCACTTAAGCCTTCTATACCAACAGTATCAGTGAACGTCCGATTTCCAGACTGGTGACACACATTTTGGGGGAATTAGCCCCAGTTCCCTGGAGTGCAAGAGACCCCAACCCCACTCCTCCACTAAGAACCCATCTGCTAGCAGCCCATTGTCTCAAGAGGCCAAAGCCACTCCAAAACAATCTCTGCATGCTTATCACAGTCAGGATAAAACCTAAAGATGACTTTAAGTCAATTGCTCTTGATAGGATAACTTTATTTATTAAAAATTACAAGTTATTTGAAGCAGAAAACATTTTGCTAGCACTTCACTTCTCCACCTCAATGCCAAGTCTCAATGCCAAGTCTCAAAACTGATCCCAGAAGAGATTAAACTAGAGGGGCAGACCACTGCATCAGAGAGAACCATATGTCCTCAGCCTATAATCTAAGAATTATGATGGCTGAAAAATGAGCAATGCAGCTGATACGTCTCCTCCTCAGGTTGCGTCCTCTGAACGCACGCCAAGTTGTCATTTTCATAATCCTGTAAGAGGTAGGTGTAAACCCATCATTTCAGCGAGGGTCTCTAATGTATAGTGCTCTTTGTTCCATGATAAATAACAATGGGGTTTGGGGGCTAGAAGTTAAGTGCTGAATGCTTATGTGCAAAGCTGTGATAACCTAAAAACAGCAACATTTAGAGAAAAGCAAGCTTTCCTTTAGATATGTACATAACTCTTGTACAATAAGCTATTCTACAAGTAGTGGCATTAGCAAACTACATTTAAGTTGGGCAAAAGTTTAACATTAAAATCTAGCTTATGGCTTGGCCAATACATTTATATTTGAGATCAATAAAAAACTATTTGACTTGAGTTTTTTTCCATCATATTTCTACTTAATCAAAATTAAAACAGCTATCTTTAGGACAAAATTAGTATCCTGTGTCAGTATTCTGCTTTTTGTCATCATTGCTTAACCAACAAACCCCCCCCCATTACAGGACCAATGTGATATCCTGTCTGCTTAGAAGATAATGTCATCTGCTCTACGTAAATACTGACCTGGAGACCATTATGCGCTCCTTCATCAATTGATGGAATTATACGTGCACATACAGTCTCCATTCTCGGCGGATTTATCAAAGTGGATGAAAACGGGGTCTTAATACCACCACACAGAGGCAGCCAGACAACAGAGTGCTAATGTTACAATCAATAAGCTTTAGAAATGCAACCCCATCACTCTCGCTAGGAGAGCTGATGGAAAAAAAAAAAATGCTCTTTGCATCTCTGCACTCGCTGAAGGCATGTCTACAGATACCCTATCAGTGCTTCTTCTCAAAGGGACCTGGGCTGATAGCGGGGGCTGCCAGGAGCTTCAACCGGAAGTTACATTATCACAGATAAGGGTTTGTTTTCCTTAAAACAGGACAAACAAAAACAGTGAATAAGCACACACGACTGTGATTCAACACTTGTGTGCAGCGTTTAGCAACCTACATGCGAGCAAAAGCCCACCAATGGCTCTAGTTTCAAATGACTAATAAAACTAATTGGAAGCAGCTGCAGCTGAGATTGAGATAGATTATCCAAATAAGAAACAAATTTCAATAAAATATAAAATAGCTCCTCAATTTTATCAGGGGAAAAACTGCTAATCCATCGCCACACTTATTATTAACATTAGTTTATGATAGTTATAATGGCAAACTTCCCCATCTATTTAATTATTTCTAAATAAGCTGGTTTATCAAGAGCAAGAGGGTTTATCAAGCATTTATCATCCACACATAGCTGAAAATCAGCATTCAGCGCATAGTAGACTCAAAACCATTAATCAAACTATTCAAGCTTGAGTGCTCATTTCAAAACCCTGAAGTGAAGTCTGGTTAACAGTGTGGTAACAAACAGTAGGTGCATTCATCCACAAAAGGTAAAAGATCTACTGGGGGCGTAGGGGAGAGAATATTTCTTCCCACCAATATCTTGCTAGAGATGTCCATATTTTTCTCACTCATACAAACATTTAAATTAAATACTTTTGTTCTTAAGCAACACAATTCCAAAAAATTACGACAACTAAATGATAACTTTAATTCAGTAAAAGCCCCTTTAATTAAACCAACAAATACAAAAAAGAATTACTTATTTTCAGGTCTTCAAATAAGCTCAAAGGACTTGGATCATATGCATGTGTAAAAGTGAAAAAAGTAATGGAGACTAAGGGGTCAGTCTGTATTAGGAGGCATTTGAGATAGTTATTACAAAACATGAGAACTAGTGCAGACGATGTCTTCAGCCATTCCCACCAATCTCCAAGGTTAGCGGTCTGATTAGAGCAGAAAAAACCCACACTGGCAGTAAACTTTCCCACCCTGAGAAATCTCTCCAGACAAGCTCTCAAGGGAAGAAAGAAGGTGAATGAGTTCCCTTGACGAATTTAAAGCACCACAATCAGCTGACATGGGTCATCTTTGCTGTATAGGGTGACTAAAGTCTTACTAAAGATGGCTGACCTGCGAAACCCTGTAGGATCTTAAGTGGCAGGACTTTAATATAATCCCTTGTTGTAGATGCAGTGTCCACTAAACGCACCTTCATAAACTCCAGCTTTAGCATGAACAGCTTAAGATTTTGGCTTTTTTTCCTTTCTGCCAAACGTAATGATCTCATATGCGAGTTAAAGCTGATAATTCAGTCTTCATAAGCTGAATACAAATTAAAAAGGTGTGCTCGTTTCTATTTTTTCAAAGAAAGCTTAGCATAGATAATTAGTTTTTTCTTTTTAACTTGTGGGTTTTCCCATCCACCCATTTCTGGAAATTTTAAAAATTTGGAGGAAAAAAAATGGATGCAAAAGCCAGAAATTCAAAAAAAAATAAATAAATAATAAAAAAAATAGATGAGGTGAAAAGTTTATCAATGAAAGTGAAATGCAAAAGTCAGTGATGAAAACAGATTTTTCTAATAAGCGTTAACGTAACTGGAATGATCAGAACACTTCTGATGTTATGGACATTCCCAAAGGTTACATGGGTGACAGCAAAGCAAGACAGCAACTTCAGTCCTCACTGAATGGGCCACTGCCCATGAGCCCACCTGCCAACTCCACATTGTTAGGGCTACAGTCATGTACAATTAACAGGGGGCTGTTAAAACTGTTCTTTAACTTGCTTTTTTGTGAATTCACTTAAAATTAAGTAAGTAATGTTAGAATAAAAAACAAATATTAGGGATTCACCGAGAGAGATATCAGAGACAATATCCGATATGGTTCATGCACATATCTGCCCCTAAATAAGCATTTATAAAAGTAGAACTTGGGACTACATCTACCTGGACTAGCATCATGGACAAATGCAGCATTTACTTCTATACAGCTACAAATATATTAAAATGAATAAAACACAGACATTTTAACAATAGTAGTCCAGCGTCACCTAAACATTCTGCTCTTTCGGAGTACAATAACTAATTATTGGTCTGAAACATCGGCCAAATGTAAACATCTGTCCGATGCCTGTCAATTTTTTAAGGAATTATCTGCTAATCTTGATTTAATGCATAAGATTACCACGCATCTCTAATGAATATGAATGTGTGATACGTCAGTAACGCCAAAAAGATGTGAGATGCCAAGAACTGAATTTGTTTCCTTTTAATTGGCTCTTCAAACACCGATAATGTGCTTCTTTTGGTAAAACACAAGGTTTCAATTTGTTGTGTCTAAACACTCTCAGATTACAGCCTTTCACTCTAGATAGGTTAATATCCGCCAAAGTAAAAGCAAGAAAACTCAACATGATGACTGAGCCTCAGAGTGCAGATGAGGTGAAATGGGAAAGGTACAAGAAAAGGAGAAGTAAAGTCAAACTGACAGACTTGAACTGAATACAGCGTGGATGTGTGGTACAGACACAATACAAAGAAACAAAATAAAGCAATGCCAATGTGGTAGGTGCACCCTCAGTATTAAATAAAAAAATAAGGCAATATTAATACGACAGTTGGGATTAAATACATGTCCAATTAAAACTTCGGAAGTATCTTTTCACAGCATAGGGGGATACTTTTTTGATAGCTATGAGTAAACATAAACTGCATGATAGCAGGGGGGAAAAGCAAGGCTTGAAAAGGTGTGTGAAGGCATGAAAAGGTGTGTGTTTATGTGGAGATGGCGTTCTCATTGGCTTTGGCATACCTGGGAATGGTCACACACTTGGTGTTGTTGCTCTGTGTGGTGATTGCTTTCTCCAGCTCGTCCAGCTGGCCTGTCTTCTTCAGCTTCTTCACCAAGCTCTTCACGGCCTTCTCGCACCATTTCTCCTCCTGGCCATTCTGCTCTCCGCCCCCACCCGCTCCAACCGAGCCGCTGGCAGATTTCTTCCAACCCAGCAGGCGCTTCACCACCGGAGGGGTGAATGGTAAGATGGACGACATTGTTGGGGTTTCAGGCGAGCGTTTGGTCAGCCCCCTCCTGGGCAGGTAGGTTAGAGATGCAGACGGAGGCGAGAACTCGCTTTCCTAACAGGGATTTAGGAAGAGGGCCACTGGGCTAGGGTTCTGTGGGAGCGTTAGTGGGGGGGAGGGGTAGGGGGCGGGAAGAGGCGCTTAGGAGATGGAACAGGGAAGGGAGGGGGCGAGGGGTTACCTGAGTGAAGAAAAACAGAAATCAAAAAGTCTGATGACAGACCGTGCAAAACACAGGCTCAAAAGGGATTAGAGGAGAACCTCCATACTGTTCCCACACCCCGAGGCACACCCCTCCAACCTAGATGCCAAGAACACTACTGCTACCGATTCACATGCATTGCAAACACAAATAAAACAAAAAGGGTTAACAGGTTCATTTAAGGCAACCTTGACAAACTGAAGAGCAAAACTAACTTGGTTATCAGTATCCCGCAGGCAACAGCAAAATAATTAGGTCAAGTGGTCTATGATTTGTCAATTACTAGGTTTGCTTTAAGCCAGTGCATCTGCATTTCCTATGAACAATATATAAAAAAGGTTAGTTAAAAGAGCTGTAAGTGAACTAATGAAGCAGTGCAGCAGTATTTTCTATAAAGAATGAGAAGCACGGTTTCTTGGGGGCACAAGCCTGACCACAGAGCAGATTACAGATAATGCAAGCCAAAAGTTCAATATTTGATTCATGGAGAGGGAATGCATGCATGCAAGCCTTTTCATTTCCCAGTATAATTTTAAAATTGGTTCCACTCAAGAAGGAGACACACCATGCCATTAGGTAAGATCAGCCTTTCTTGTTGCAGGCAGCAGTGACAGTGATGTCCTCTGACCTCACTGCCCGTTAAACGTTGATTGTGAACATGAGGAAGTGGAAGTAAACATTAGGAATCCAGGGCTATTGCATTAGCTTTACAAAATGGCCAATTCCCAGAGAGAGCCTTGCTGCCATAAGCTTATTTATCATAGCGGAAACGAGCCACAATGAAGAAAGAATGCTTTCCAAATGACCAGCAAAAACATAGCTGGAGACAAAATAAATGGAAAAATTAGTGGATATAAACGAAAATCCCAAAGCATCAGCATTCAAATCACTGCTATCCCTAAAACAGACGCATTCAAGACTGAAGCTAAAACACTTCAGTAGTTGATGAGAAGGCACAAGGGTAAACCGATGACCATATTTTAAAAGAGAATTCAACCAATTTTTCAAATTATCTTTATTATTAACTGTTCATTAACACGTAAACAATGTTACTCAGCAGTTTGATGTGAAATGCTCCATTTTCTGAGAAACTGAGGCAGAACTGCTCACAGTAGTGGTGATAGGAACCAGGCGTCTCAAGTGTTCAATGCCTTAAAAAAGCTCCCTCATAGTTACAGCATGATATAGTTCCAAGTATGTTGCCTGAGGTATGGTTTTATGATGGCTCTGAAATAACGTTATGGCCAAAACCATATACTTTTATAAACTGTTATGGCAGAGACATGCATGCATGATGCTGCAAGGCAAAATAATCCCTAAAGAAAACTTATTTTCAGACTGACCACTATTTTACAATTTTTCAACGAAACATTAAAAAAACTGAAGGTACGTGCAGGTTTACTGGTGGTTTTGGATAGTAAATTAAATAGCTACATTTGCATTGTAGGCGTCATGACCCCTGGTTCCTATCACCATCACTGTAAAGAAACCTGAGTCGACAAATTTCTCTGCAAGACGCCATTTCACATCGAATCACTCCGAATAACTTTGTTTACATCTCAACCATTAAATTATATACATTTTTCTAACAACAGACGGAATTCTCCTTTAAGCAGCTGGAGGGGTACTACGTTCACTTCATAAGAGTCGTGTAAAGCAGGACACGAGTATGTGAGCATACAGCGAGCCAAATTTCAGCATTAAAAACCTCTAATACAACTGTTTCAGGACTAAAGTCCGTGGAGCTGATGGCTCGTCTTGGAGAGCCTGGTGCCTAATTAATCTCTTTATGCTGCGTTTGGAGAGTGGAGCGTGTGGGAAGGTCTGGCGATGGCATTTGGTTCAATGACTAACCTTTCAATTATAACGGTCTATACCGTTTATTGTACGAGCATCTTTACACAAAACTGACTTGTGTAGGAGACATGCAGCAGACGACCGATGCGGCTAAACAGCAGACATGTAAATAACATTAGCTAATGCCAAAAGTGCACCAAGCTTAACGATTAAAAAACCCATCTCAAACTTCTACACTCGATTAGACAACAAAACCGACAAACCGGTAGCGGGGTAGCAGAAAAATTGTACCCAATAGGCCATGCTAAACGAGGCTGAAGTTGGCTTCCTATTCGCCAGCTTCTTGTTTGAATTTTCCCGTTCCACCTTAAATGGTGCAGCAGTTACATTCTGGCGCCTCAGGCGTTATAATAATAAGCGCTGCACCATTTAAGGTGGAACGGGAAAATTCGAATGAGAAGCTGACTTCAGCCTCGTCCAAGCTAATGCCGAGGCAACGTTAGCAATCGCTAGCTTGATGCAAAAAGAGTTAAATATCTATTCCCTAATTTAAAAGGGATTTATGGGTACAGCACTTACCTCAAGCAGACGGACTGATGGAAATGGAGGAGTTGGATGGCTGCATGAAAGCGTCGTCCGACCGACCGAGTCCCCGGAGCGAGAGAGAGGGCTGATGCTAGCGGCTACAAACGAGAACAAACCCGGAGCTTGAATGCAGCTGGAACCGGCCCCGATTAAAAACACAACAGCATTTTAAGGGGTTTTTGTAAATGAAGTGAATGAGGGAGCTGTGGTAGTTTTTTAGCGATGAAGGAGGTGTGTTCGTGCGTTTTCGTGGCGATGCCGGAGCTCGAAAAACCCGCTAAGTTAAGCTCGCAGCCTTCGCCACTTTGTTTGACAGAAAAATAAACAGGTTAGAGACGTGTTCGCGAATCAGTTTATTTTCGGGGGGCAAAAAAAACTCACCTGAACAATGAGTGGTCGGGCTTTATGCAGACGCAAAAACATATATATACTCCACAGCAAAACCCGACTTTTATCTCTATTCTTGAGTGTCTAAAAATCGATTTTAAACTGTATTTTCTTTCCCTCTGTGGCCAAATTACAGCAGCAGACGACGGCGGCCTCTCGCATGCGAACAACCTAACTTAACGCACGGAAAGCGTTAAGTCCCGCCCTTGCGTTTCTAGTGGTCTAAACGAAGAGCCCATGCGCTTACGACCCTCGTCTATTGGTTCAAATTCGACGTCGATCATCGCCAGTATTAATTATGCAAAACAGAGCGCGATTTCTATTGGTCGTTCCGACTCGTCACTCGTTCGGTGACGTTCGGATTCCAGGCCGCAGGCTGTGGTTTGTCGACGCGGCCGTCCGTCTGTTCACTTCACAACAGAGCTGAACGGAGGAAAAAAACTGCTAACTGGGTTACAGCTCCATCAAAAACAACGAGCGTATTCCTCCGCCATTCAACAAAGAAGAAATAAATAGGACTGCAAGCAACTTGAGATGTGGCCTGTGCCCGGTGCTTTCAATCTACCATGCGAGAACCCTTATAATAAATAGAAAGACCCCAATGAATAATGTTTAAATGTTATTAATCTCAATGTGCATTACAATCTTGTTCAAATTATAACGTCAATCTCCTATTAGACTACACAGAAGATTTTAGTGAGCGCCAATGATGTCAGTGAACCTCTGCAGGAATGTATGTATCGGCTGAATGCGAGAAAAGTGTCGCAACAAATGGGATTTTATTTGTAGGAAAACGTAACAGAAAAAAAAGATAATTGAACTGTAAAATACATTGAAACTATAATGCAATGGAAACGTTAAACAGTTTATTCCACGCGTGTCCTCCAGGTGGTGCTGCTGTGCGTTTGTTCTGTATAGTGGTTGTCAAGAGCAGCTCCATACACAAAGTGTCTGGATTGACTTTTCACGTCACCTATTCTGTTTACAAAATTCAGTTACTTAGAGCAATGGATTCATTCGTTTGTTCCACATGTAATATGGCTTTCAGATCATCGCATTTTCTTGCGAAGCATAAGGAGAGATTCTGTATTGGGGATGCTGATCATCAGACACAGGAGTCTGATTTCACTCAAAACATGGTACTGTTTTTTTTTAAATGTGTCGTGCTGGTTGGGTGTAATAACTACACTGTGGAAGTATTGTGGAAGATTTTGATATGCATTGCTTTCTGTGATGGTAGATATTTTGTATCATGTTTTGACTATGATTGATAACATTTTAAAGGAAAGAAAGGCATGCCTTGGCCTTTGGGCTGCATTGAGAGGTTCGACAGGTTCACACAATGCCATTTACAGGAATGGAATAGAATAGAATAGAATTCAGTTGCTGTCAGAACAACAAAACCTTTTATCTCCAAAATGGCAACTGTGTAGGAGAAGGAAAATGTTCTTAAGTTTTAGAGTTATTGTAAAAAGATTTAATTCCAAGTAGTTATAGAGCATTGCTACAGAGCTTAATACGATATAAAGGGCAACCATATTTAATCCATTTTTGTGAATTATCTTTTTTTTCCAAGAAAATTGTTGTTGGTAGTGGTCTTTTCACATACAAGAAATAAGAAGTGCTATGGTATTTAATGTAGGTTTAATATAACTTGCATATGAGGAACATAAATGCATTTTTTGACACAGCATTTTTTGTCAGCTGTTATTCTGAAATAATGATTGCAAAAGCTTCCTACAGGGTGAGAGGATCAGAGAATTGCGAAGGAAACATCAGCAGGAAAGGCCTTATAAAGGAGCCCAAATGACCCAGCAGAACTTTGACACAAGAACTCAGCACCAGCTACGAAAACCCAACAGCGAACCAGTAAGAATCACGCATAAACAGTCCCACAAATGTTTTATGGCCTCAGCTTTTGTTGTGATTGCCACCACATGCCTAATTGCAGTGATTTCGGTTCGTTTGATAAAGAGTTGTGTAAATAAATTTGCACAGACAGCAGACAGAACAGATCAACAAATTCAAGACCTTTCTGAGATTCCTAAGCGCCAGGCACCACAATCGAGTGACAGCAAAAAACTGAACAAGCAAAGAAGAGGTAATAATGCATTCCCTATACATGTTTAGATCTAAATATAACTGAAATGTTTTATGTAGTTGGACAGAACAAGGTCACACAATTAAAAAAGAGGAAAACAATTACATTTAACAGAATATTACTTTAAAATCAAGTCTGTTTGGCTTATGCATTGTTAAATTGTAAAACCTATAAAAGCACATGCATATTGGCATAATATGAGCTACGCTACCACAGAAAGCTGTGTTTTTTATAAGTGCCAACTTTTCACTATTGTTAAGACAAAACCTTGTATCTCCATTTTTGTCATTTTTCAGTTTTTGATATAATTTGAAAATGACTGTTGCCTTTTACACAGTGTGTAATATTTATGATGAATGGAACAAAAGAAATGATGAAGAATGACTTGGAAAAAAGTCTGGTTCCAGTGACTTACATTCAAAGTAATCTTCTGTAAAGTTATCAATTTTGAGATACAAGGTTTTGTTCCGACAACAGCGATTTATTTCTTTACTAATTGCAGAGATTAATCGACAGGAGCTCACAGTTCAAAACAGGAAAGTAGCTCAACTAGAGAAAATGCTCTTAGAGCTGAAAGAGCAGGAGGAGAGGAACACCACACTACTGGAGTCCCTCATAGATCACCTACAGCACAATCCCACTGAACCTATGGCAGCTACCTCTAAAGGGTTTGAAAGAATTTCCTTAATTTTTTTACAATTTATCTTCTTAAATTTTTATGTATTGATGACCTGAAGTCTTGCTATAGTAATTCTAATGTGTATGTTTATTTTTTAATTCTAGAGACCCAAATTAAGTAAAAGTAATGTCTAAAATGTGTGTTTGGTATTTTGTTGGTGACATCCTGTATAAATAAAAATAATGCTATGGCTTAGTAAGGCATGAGAACAAGATAATCAAGTAAGATAACTTAATAAGACATGGGAATGAGATCCTAATGCATGGCCACAACTTGGTAAGGTGTGGGAACAAGATCCTAAAGCGTGGCCACGACTTAGTAAGGCATGAGCCCATTCCCAAGCCTTACTAAGTTGTGGCCACAACTTAATAATCTTATTCTCACACCTTACTAAGTTGTTGTCATGCATTAGGATCTCGTTTCCACACCTTAATAAGGTGTGGCCATGCATTATTTTTATTTATACAGAATGTCACCAGTGGGGCTTCATAGTCAGTTAGAGCATTTTTAAAAGTCTCATTATATAAAATTTATTTTTTAAAAAAGCAGTAGCATTACTGAGTCAATAGAGGAAAACCTGTACAGCTCTAGTTTAAAAATTCAGAGTGCTTATTTTTGCACTGTCATATGTCTTTACATGCTGATGAAACAATCTTAGGCTCAAAAGTGCCCAACTATTGAGCACAATAGTTTTTGGGCCAGACTCCTAATGCTACCAGATTAATCATCAGTGTGTTATTCAGCACAGGTGACTTTACAAAAACGTTCTTGCTTGCAGTTCCATATTTCCTCCAGAGAGGTCTCCAAATCCTCAAACTCAATGCTGCTTTAAACTTCTGCTAATAACACGTCCCACACCTTATCTCGTAGGCGAGACAGTCTCCAAAGCAGCAACCCACACCTGCTCATACCTGAGACTAGAGAGGGAGTAACACAAACCTACATACCTGTTTATGGGGGTGGAGTCCTTTCCTCAGAAATCAGGTAATGTGTGCATTTACTTGAGGATTACTGATAAATTCATATTTCAGATTCGTTGCTTTGGCCTTTAAAATGGAGCTGACTTATGAAATAAAATATAGCTTTATCTAAATGGATCCATGCAATCTGATAATCTCTTTCCACAGCACTCTCCATCTCTCCTATCTCCAGAACGGCGGGACGGATCCTCAGATATTGGCTCAGCTGCAGGACTTGTTAAATGAAGCCCTCAAAGTGGAAATACTGCCTGGGAAACAGCCTTTGCCCAAGACCTATCACAATGAGAGAACAAAACATGGGCCAAGTATACCTATATCCAAGGGCCAAGTCCTAGCAAAACGTCATAACCGTTTGAAAATGCCAGCTGTCCTTCACACTGTGTCAACATTTTATGACAATTAGACCACTAAATGGAATAAAATCTTGTTAACGTACATTAAACCTATGTCTTTTTCCTTTATCCTATAAAGTTACCATTTTAGAGAGATGAGGTTTCATTATGACAGCAGATATGTTTTTTTTTAATATTACTATTGTGCTAACATTTTTACAATTAAAAAAGTTGTACAGTATTGTACATTTTGTTTGAGATAAACATTTTTATGTGCTGTCTGTAACACAGAGCCAAAGGACAATAAGAAAGATTTCTTTAGAGAGCTCATCTCCACTGAGATCGAAAACCAGCGCTTGGAGGAGGAAATCATGAGACTGCAGTTAAGAAAGAGAAGATCTGCATTCACCAGAACAACTCCAAACTGTAAGATCTGAGCCCTTTAAAAGCTGCATAACTCCGTTTGGCAGCAGTCCTGTGTGAAAAAGGAGCTTTGACTTTGTTTTCCTTAGACCAACCTAGTGAACAGGAGATGAGGAGTATGAAGATGGACATTGACCTGTTAAAAAATGAGATTGAGATTAATCATCTGAGGAAGCTGATTAGGAGCAGGAAGGTGGAACCAACCCTAGTGACTTTTCCTCCTTTGGTCAGTATAGATTTAGTGGTCAATATAGAGATACAGTTTGAAAATCAAGCTTACACAGTTTAATTTGCTTACTCGAAATTAAGTTAATCAGCCGAAGTATGTTTGGTGTCTGAAGTTTGCTTCTTTAGTTTTGCATTAGAGCTATGATGCTAATGTATCTAGCAATGGAAGCTTAAAGTCACCAGTATTGCAGAATGATGTTTAACATTGTGTAAATTACATGCCTAAATTATTGCACACACATTGCTTTAAACCATGTCCAGTGTTTCCCTCAGGTTAGACACAAGTCGGATGGTGAGGGAGGTTATTTGAATATGTGGATATCCGGATGCATATAATTTGTTTACCTAAGTTGATATTTGGATAAAACATTGAATATGCATTTGGATAACATGGGAAATCCCATAGAGGAGCTAGTGAAAATTGGCGGTATCATAACAATGAAATCGGATCGGAAAAGACAAATGATTCTTTTAAAGCTGTTAGGTGTGGTGATTTATTTGTAACGATATGAAATAATTTATCTTTGAAATTTGTTCAAATGGGACAAAATGGAAATTACATATTGTTATAATAGGACAAAATATACTTTTAGCTATGCAATGTACTTGAGTGAGGGCAAAGTTGACCACATTTAAACCAAAATTATTTCTTTAAGATAAGATTTTACGTAATTTGCATATGGGACTTGTAATCATGCAGCAGTCTTTTCAAAATTTGTGCATTGTCTCATGTCATACTACTGCTACTGTTCTTCTGATCTTCTTAGGAGGAACCCAGATCACAGACACCATCCCACAACACATACTCCATGGATGTATCAGAAGGCTTAGGTCCTGCTCCCTATGACCCAACGTTTGTATTTTGTTAAATAAACATTAAAAGAACAGGCAAAAAATCACGTCCTTATGTGTCCCCTACCCCAAATGTAGCCCATCAGCAAAGACATGTTTGCATCATTAGTTTGCACTGGAGATAAGAGGATAATGTAGCTAACAGGTAATGGAAGCTTAGACGATTTTGTCAATACCTATGTCCATTTTTATCATACACAGCAACGTTGACATAAAAATCAACACAGTTTGGGAAAAAATGTGATGCTTTATGCATGCACAACATGCAATCCTAATTGTTGGGTAAAAGCTTCCATTATTTGTTAGCTATACTGGCACTGTAGCTCTACTTCTGAACCAAAGAAGAAAATTTCAGACACTAAACATGTCTTGTTTGACCAGCTACATTTCTGGTAAAGGGAAACCTGTAAATTTAATGTTTTACAAAACTAGTTATGTATGATGAAATGAACCAGCAACCCAGTATTCAGTGATGCCAATCATACGCAACAACATGGAAGAATCCACTTTATCTCTTGTGTTTTGCTGTTGCAGGGCAGGTTTCGTGGTGTTTTATGATTTCCTCTTAGGCTTATGTCCATCATACAGAGTGTGTCGCCTGATGGTAGGGTTATACAGCGGAGAGCAGTGTCTGGGGAGCCCTTCTGTGTTGCCCCCAGTCTACTGTGAGCCCTTCATCTTATCCACACACCCTCCTCGACACAATCAAGGACAAAAAGCAGTCCTCGCCTCCAAGCAAGCAGTCCCAGAGTAAGCGGTCAATGGTCTGAAATGGATGTTTTCAATAATATAAAATTACTTTGGGTGCATGTAAGGTATAAAATGATTTTAAAGTACTAGGAACTACATGTTTCAAATGATTAGTAGGAAACTTTAAGAAACTGACTGATGACTAGAGCTGTAGGTGATTCTAAAATTGAGTTTAATATTCATATTACTATTAATATTAAACTGTTTACTATTAAGAATGAAGTTACAATATTATCCAGAATGCCTCGTATTTCAAAACTGTTGATCAAACAGTAATTTATTCATTATTTAATCATTTCTTGTTATTCTCAGAAAACTTGACATTTTGAACATCTAAATATACCTGTTGATGTTGAGTTTGTAATATTTAAATCTATGTTTTATAAATAGAAAAAATGTATATTGACAGAGTGATTCCAAAGGGATGCAACTAGGATAATCCACTAAAAGTCAAATTATAAATATAATTTGTGTAGAAATTATGTCTGACTCTGATGTTCTACCTCACTTAGGGTCCAACCTGCCCCATCGGTCTCTCTAGTGATGCAGGTGCAGGCCTCAGGAGGATATGATGTTTACGGACAGGAGGTTACCCATCTAGCTCCACGGGGTTGGGTGAAGCTGGACATCTTCGACCATCATAATCGCATCATTAGTGGAAGATGGAAAATACCTGTTCGCATCCTTCCAGCTAAACCCTCGATGACAACGGCAGAAGTCAATACTGTTCCACAGGTTTATGCAAACACATTTACTATCCATTCACCACTGGTAATGTGTTATTGGGCCAGATTTTTCCAGCGTCTCAGAGTAAGAGTGGATTGTGTTGTTAATCACCTTATATCACATCCTTGACAAATGAACCATGAGGTGTTCTCTGAGATGCTCTAATGTGTTGTTTTTATGCCCATGTTTTATATTTGATTAACATTAGAGGCATAATTTGAGTGTCCTTTTTTAATTGTTTGATTTTCAGCATTGGCTGGTGGTGCATAATACATAAATCTGATTAATGTGCTCTCTACTCTAGCTGGACAACACAGAACTGTACCTGAGGATTGTGAACGCAAGAGATGCAGAGATTCAGAGCGCTGTTCCAATCAGCATTTACACTGCAGGGATCTACAGATATGCTCCTGTGGTATGCATCTGAAATTTCAATTTGATGTTCTATTAGTTTGTGTTCTTAGTATGTTCATATTTTTAGCTGTACCTACTATTTCGGGTCATGTTATCTGCTTTTTTATATGGAATGTGTTAAAAAAGTTTTATTGGAAACTATTTTGCCTGACAACAACCTGCATGTACCTTTCTGTCATGAGCATAAAACCCCAATTCCAAAAAAAGTTGGGACGCTGTGTAAAATGTAAATAAATGTAGGTGAAAACAGATCAAAACAGTGCAAATCTCATAGACCCATATTTTATTCCCAATAGAATATAGAACACAGATGTTGAAAGTGAGATATTTAACCATCATTTAGAACTTGATGGCAGCAACGCATCTCAAAAAAGTTGGGACAGGGCCTTGTCTACCATTGTGTAGCATCCCCTCTTCTTTTAACTGCAGTCTGTAAACATCTGGGAGGTGAGGAGACCAATTACTGGAGTTTGGGAGAGGAATTTTGTCTCATTCTTGTCTGATGTAGGATTCTAGCTGCTCAACAGTCCTGGGTCTCCTTTGTCGGATTTTCGTTTCATGGTGGGGCAAATGTTTTCTATTGGTGAAAGGTCTGGACTGCAGGCAGGCCGGTTCAGCACCCAGACTCTTCTTCTCCGAAGCCATGCTGTTGTGATGGATGCAGTATGTGGTTTAGCATTGTCTTGCTGAAATATACAAGGCCTTCCCTGAAAGAGACGTTGTCTGAATGGGAACATATATTGTTCTAAAACCTCTATATACTGTTCAGCATTGATGGTGCCTTTCCAGGTGTGTAAGCTGCCCACGCAATAGACACTAATGTAAACCCACACCATCACAGATGCAGACTTTTGAACTGTGCGCTGATAACAAGTTGGATGGTCCCTCTCCTCTCGAGTCTGTAGGACATGGCTTCCAAAAAGAATTTAAAATTTTGAAAGGTTTTCTATTTTGTCCATTTTAAATGAGCTTTGGCCCAGAGAAGACGGCAGCGTTTCTAGATCATGTTGTCATATGGCTTCTTCTTTGCATGATTCAGTTTTAACTTGCATTTGTGGATTGCACAATAAACTGTGTTCACAGACAATGATTTCTGGAAGTGAAATGGCCTGAAGATCATGAGCATCTAATATTGACCGTCAGCCTTGTCCCTTGCGTACAGGGATTTCTCCAGATTCTCTGAATCTTTTCATGATATGTGCTGTAGATGGTGGGATATCCAAAGTCTTCCCAATTTTACGTTGAGGAATATTTTTCTAAAATTGTTCCACAATTTTTAGACGCAGTTTTTCACAGATTGGTGAACCTCTGCCCATCTTTGATTCTGAGAGACTCTGCCTCTCTAAAATGCTCTTTTTATACCCAGTCATGTGATTTATTTGCAGCTTGCTCCTCCAGCTGTTTTTTATTAGTACCACTTACTTTTCCAGCCTTTTGCTGCCCCTGTCCCAACTTTTTTGAGCTACGTTGCTGAATGAGTTCTAAATGAGTTAATGTTTTTCATGAAATGGTAAAATGTCTCACTTTCAACATCTGATACGTGTTCTATGTTCTATTGGGAATAAAATATGGATCTATGAGATTTGCATATCATTGCGTTCTGTTTTTTATTTACATTTATTTTACACAGCATCCCAACTTTTTTGAAATTGGGGTTGTATTTTACAAATACATTTTAGTTCAAAATCTTATCTCAGTATCTCAGGCATCACTTTTAATGGTGTATTCATAACCATTTAATGTAATAACTTTCTGTGATGTAACTTTTACAGACAAACACTTCAGACATCTGTTATCCATTTCACATCAGACCTCTCTGAATGACTTTGTTTACATTTTAATCATTTAATTATGTGGAAAGTTTGAAAAAAATTACTGGACTTCTCCTTTAAATGATTTAGCACTTTTGTACATTGTCAATATGTATATTAACAAATGGATCCTTAAATATTTGCATATTTCACTCCAAAACACTCCACTTACTGTGTATTGCAATTGCAATTTGCATTACTCAGCAATGTCCTACAGGGGGCAGAGAAGTCACATTGCAGTAACAGTATTCTCCCACTGGTGTTAGTTTAAACAGAAACTTCAGCCTACTGTGTTAATGATACTCATGATAAATGAAAGTTAGTGGGAAGATGCAAACAATGGTGAGATCATGCTAATTGGACCCTGCTAGCTTTCATTCATTGTCAGCCTCATTTTCATTCCTTTGGCAAGAGTGGCATTAAGAAGATATAAAACAGTGTAAATCATACTATATATTGCAATTATCTTATTTCACTGTAAGTACATGAGGGGTTAATTCAGTTCAAACTACAGCAGCAAAAACAAAGGAATTAAAGGAATTGCTTCAAGATATGTTTTTTCAGCTTCATGACTTGTTCTTGCATACATTACCCTCTCTATGAATTTAATGTGGGCAGCTTTTATGATGGTCCCAGTGAGTCTTTATACTGAACTGATCAGCAAGGTCACAGATAAGATGTTATAAATTCATAGTGTTTCTTAATTGGGTGTTTTCTCTTCTCTTATGTAGACAACTCCAAGGCACCGCTTCTCCAGGCAGTATTCTCGTGAACCTGTCAGAACTCCAGCAGATCAGAGTGCTCAGGTTTATATACCAGCCTTCACCCAGAGCCTGGACCCACCTTCAACAGGACTGTTTGATAACCCTGAGTGACCAACAGGAACTTTTGTCTGCAAATCAAAGAAAAGCACTTCTGCATTGCGCTCATCATTTGTAATAAACAAGATCTTGTGTGCAGTAATTACTGTAAATTTAATGACTTTTAAAGCATGCATTTTTTAAGACTCAAAAGTGACAATATGTAAGATATAATCAAGTGAAAGCAAGGTTTCTACTTGTTACTTTTAAGTAAAAATGTACTCTAGGTCTGCTTTCTGCATAAATGCAGTCATGTATTCATCTTCAAAAATAATAAACAAGCCTAAAATTTAAAGAGCTCATAAATTGGGAAACCAAATTTTCCTCAAACTCTTTTGTTTTATTTTTGTTTTTTCTCTAAATGATTTATGCTAATCATAAAAAATATCTTATAATGACATTACTGATGACTTGAAAAAAAAAACATGTGATTTATTTATGTGTGTGTATATATATATATATATATACATGTGTATACATATATATATATATATATATGTGTGTGTGTCTATATATATACATGTATATATATAGTTTTAAGTTCTATGTCTGATGTAGTTTATTATTGTTATAATGTGTTTACTTTATCATTCATTAAACATTTCCTTATTAAAAATGAATGAAGTAAGTGCTGTCAGTATGAAGTGTAGCTACATCTGCTTTCAGGTTAACAGTCTAATCTTTATGCCAAGTTCTACTGCTCTAGCTGAAAATATGTGGGTTTCTATGGCAGGATGGAGGGACCAAAGAAAGAATAGCAGGGACAGACAAATAAATACTCTAAATATGAAACATAATTATGTGCTTTGAGCCAGAAGTTCAGTATTTACATCAAGACTTGAAGATTCAGTAGTAACTGAGATAGTAACAATAGAAGAACTGTTTTTGGTGCTAACCAAAAATTTAATTCCATAGCACCCTTCATACATTAGAAGTGCAGCCCAAAGTACAGTACAAAATAAAAACAAAGAAAGAAGAGAACAAAAGTAATCAAGAAATAAAACAGACTAATAAATAAAAATGCAACAAATAAAAGCAGCGACAAAAATCGAAATTAAATGCACAAGATAAAAGTATAAATAAAAATAAACTAAAACTAAAAATGCAACCAACTCAAGGAATGAAACATTCAGAACGCAGCCTCAATTTGTGCTCTAGTTTAAACCCCGCCCCCTCAACGCATGTGCGTAATTGGACGCTCCTCCTCATAAATCCGCTTCTGATTGGTCGAATCGTGTTTGGCCAAAACTTGTGGTGGTGGCCATGGCCTCGCTGCACCTCTCTACACTGCCTGCAGTTTTTTGTATATTATTAGCAACAGGTAGCAGTTTTTAAGGCTATCCCAATGTAAATATACAAAAAAGCTTCTGGACGTAATAGTGGACGTAATATAAAGATAAGAGAGATAAGATAAGAGTCTGTCTTCGTGTGAAGTGTGATTTTCATGACTAACTTTTCTCAGATTCCAACTGTGGGTTGTATTTTTATCTTCAACCTTCAAACATTTTTACCTTCTTTATTTAAACCAAACAAATCCACAGTCTTTAATTACGAAAGGAATGGCTTCGTTATGCTGATTACTCGTCAGTTAAACGCTGCAAAACTTTAACAAAGTTAGCTAATTAAACCTTAAGCCGGAGGCAAATGCGCGCGAAAAAAATCGCTTTGGCGCCAAAACGCTTCTTCGTGATGTTGATGATGTTTGTAGAGTTTTAATGGTGTGATATTGACGAAGTTTCCAGAGTTTTAATGGTGTGATGTTGATGAGGTTTAGAGTTTTAATGGCGCCTTCTTCTCACTGAGAATAAATGTATCACTCTCCAGGTGTGGCTCAGAAATGCGGGAATGGACGCTGGCAGTGCGATGATGGTCAGTGCATCCCCCGGAGATGGCGCTGTGACGGAAGTGGGGACTGCCTGGACGGCTCAGATGAGATGAATTGCTGTATGTTTTAGTTTTTGTGTGTTTTAAGAGCGGAACCCAAATGATGTGAATGTTCCAATACAAAATTAAAAACTAACTTAAATGTTTAAAACAGTTTATTGAAATTTAAAACCCTCATGCCTCAGATCTCTTATTAGGGTTTCCTATTTGCTGTCTATTGAACTCAATATAACTGAAAGAGTATGATAAGTATATTTAAATGGGTATTTGAGAGGGTTCTCACAATTTCTGTATGATTGAATATGTAGTCATTGAGTGTTTTAATGTGAAATGCTCCTTTCTAGAGAAACTAGTCAGAATTGTTCACAGTAGTAGTGAAGGGAAGCAGATGTCTAGAGAGTGTAATACCTGTAAAAGCTACCTTGCAAAGTTATTTAAAAAATATTATGAATACTAGACAATATAAGAAGTTTTATTTGTACAGTAGTTTGGAGAGGCTGTTGGCCTCAAACATATTTTTAAAAACTGTTCATAGTGGAGAGGTACATGCAGGGTCTGGTGTGTGTGTGTGTGTGTTTATAAAATATAATCTTTTTTACCAGCTATGCCTTTGTTCTACTGTCACCAAAATGACATTTAAACTCAGACACATGTAGGTTCACTGGTGGTTTTGGATAGTAAATAAAGTGAAGTTTTTCTGTAGTTAACCATTATTTAGATTGACACACTCTTAATGACTTCAGAATTTTTTATTCAGAAATAATGGTGGAACATGCGCAGCATAGATTTTGCACATATATTAATTGTGCTTTTGTGTCATGCTGATGTTTCAATGTAGGGAGTTGATTCGGGTAGCTTTAGGTCCGATTTCTACATTTTATAAATGTTTGTTTTGGCATCACTAGATACATACATGAAAAACATTGGACACTGGCATCAATACACAATTCCTGTATCTGTTTGTCCTTCACTTCGCTGTCACTTTTAGTCTTAAGGATGTCTGTTATGCCCAGATGTCTTCGTATGTGTTCCTATAGCCTGCCCACAGGAGGACTTTGAGTGTGCTGACGCCACCATGTGTGTGACCAAGTCAGCAGTGTGTGATGGCCGTCCCCAGTGCAGAGACGGGTCAGATGAACTCAACTGCAACCAAACCTCAGGCTGCCTTCTGGGCGACTGGGCGTGCAGGAATAGGGTCTGCATCCCCCAGGAGCTCCGCTGCAATGGGGTGGATGACTGTGGTGACCGTTCAGATGAAGAGGGTTGTGGTGAGCTGCTGTGGAACCTGTGGTCAATTTAGATCTCATGTTTGTACATGTCACATGCTGTTAAATGTATGACACAAGAACATTACTGTGTGTTGATCTTGTCAGGGCCTTGTGGAGATCTGAGCGTGCGCTGCCCAAATGGATTATGTTTGACCCAGAGAGAGAGATGTGATGGAGTTGCCCAGTGTTCTGATGGGAGGGATGAGCCAGTTACATGTGGTATAGTGATGTCTTATGTTCGTTTTTCAGTATAAATGACAGGCTTACTTTGAGGTATTCTTCACACCAAATTGTCAGACACTAATGCCTTTGGGGAAAAAAAAAAAATACAAAAAATCGTCATTAAAGGTAGTTTGCTCATATTTCGAATAGAAATGCAGAAACAAGAATACCAGACTTTTTACTTTGAGGGTCTGTGGTAAACTATTGCTGCCTTTTTTTCATTTATTAATTCATTTCTTTGCACTGTTTTAGGTAAAACATGTGCAGTCAGAAACGGTGGTTGCAGTCACACATGCACTGACCAGCTTTGGGGAGCATTGTGTTCGTGTCCTACTGGGCTGAAGCTCTCTTCAAACGGGGCCAAGTGTGAAGGTAGGCACAGACATCTTACATCTGAAATATGACAAGCAAGTATGAACTATGCTTTGAATGTTACCCAGTACTGCTCTGTGGACATTTTTCCTGCTCCATAGATATTGACGAGTGTGCTCAGCCTTACGGGCCCTGCATGCACACATGCATCAACACCAAAGGATCTTTTCGGTGTCAATGTCACTCAGGTTTCAAACTTCAGGGTAATAATGTGTGTCAAGCTCAAGGTACCTTCTCAGAAATAAATTCTAATTATTATTGTTGTGTGTTTTTATAACCAAACTGATTATTTAATGTTGCTTTTAAGGAAATGTCACCAAGCTTCTTACCACCAAGAAGGGTTTCATTGGATTAGTCAATGTAAAAGCCAAAGTATACAAGACCCTCTTTGCGATTGATAGCGACCCTGTAGCCCTGACATTTGGCCTTGCGCAGAACCTGTTTTTTTGGGCTGATGGAAAAGGCAACATCTATAAGGCTGAAGATCAGAAGAGCAGAGTGCTTTATTCAGGTTAGCTGTGTTGCCAAGACATTTTTAGGTGTTTATTTGGTTCACTGTGTGAATAGCACTTCCTAACTCATTTGTATTTTGCCTGTACTAATTGTAATCACTTTGTTTTAATCTATCTTTAATACTTTTTCTTTGCTCAGGACATAGTGGCATTAAAAGTCTAGCTGTGGACTGGCTCCATGGACAACTTTACTGGTCCAACTTTAAACTAAAAAGCATCCAAACAGGGTCTTTTGATGGTAGTGCTGTAGGCATAGTCATGTTCAAAGATACAGACCCAACAGATTTGGTCCTCCTGCCAGTTGAAAGGTATGTATTCAGTTTTACATTTGTTAAGTCTCTGCAGCTGTACATTAAAGCATTACTGCCTCCTTCTGTTCCTTGTAGTACGATGACTTTTTTTTTTGGGACCTTTTCGTCCTTTCATTGTAGTGCCTTGTTTTGGATAAACAAAGGACCAAATGATGAAATGACTGTTGAGAGAGCTGGGATGGACGGCTCTATGCGCACAACTTTGGTTGTTGTAACTGCTCAGTTGCCGAGAAGCCTTACTTTGGATGTGGCAGCCCGACGATTGTATTGGATAAGCGATTTCAAAATGGTAAGTGCTCTTTACTTAAATCTGTAAATTTATTCCTTTCATCAGTGTATAATATCTGCACTGAGAGAGATTTTGTCTAGGACTTGTTTTATGAATAAAACATTTTCATTGTTCCAAAAGCAGTTTTAGTAAATGCTCTATAGTTTTTACCGCAATTTTAATGCTCAGTCTGTGTGTGTTGCAGTCAATTGAAACGGTGAAAACAGATGGTACAGGACGTCATACCTTTAAAGAGTTCTTTAACGGAAGGACTACTCAGAGCCTGGCTGTGTTCAGTGGCTGGTTCTACTGGTCTGATGGCAAGCGTCTGTGGCAAGCTCCTCAGACCCAGCCTGACCAAAAGAGTTTTGTTCTGAAAGCAGCACTACCGATCCTAACAGTATATCACGAGCTCCAGCAGCCTCGAGGTAAATAAATTTCAGCAGTAGTGCCTGCTTTTATTTTTATTATTATTATTATTAATAATATTATTATCATTTAGTTTTTTCTTGGAAATCAAAATCTAAAGCACTTTTGTTAATATGTTTCTGTGCTGTAGGTTCTTCTCCATGTAGAAAGTCAGACTGCCAGCTTTGCTTGCCCTCTCTAGCCATTCGTGGCAGTTTTACCTGCTCTTGCCCCAAAGAGAAGCTTCCTGTGGCACAGGGCTCATGTGAAAGTATGTGGTGGATGTTGTGTACGCCGACAGAGATCTCTTGACACTGAAGATGAGCAGTGCTTAATTTATTTTCTTTTTTCAACATGACAGGTTTTAAGCTTGCCTATGCAACGTCCACAAGCGTGTACACAATGGAGTATACAACAGAGGGTCCTGTAAAATCTCTTCTCTTCACCTCGGATGAAGACATTCAGGCTTTTGATATTGACTGGAAAAGAGGATGGGTGATTTGGGCTAATGGCACAGGTCATGTGAAGGCTAGACTTTTCACAGAAGATCTTTCACAATATATTTCAACTTTGAAGCCTGGTATGTAGCACAACTGCCATTTGTCATTGGTCAAATCATGATTCTGTCCATTTTTAATTGTTAATTTACCTAAAGTTCTTGAGCATTAATTGTGATTTTCTTAGCATGCACTGTCAAAGTTGACCAGAAGACTGGAAATCTGTACTGGGTGTCTTGTGATGATCTGTCTATTGGAGTCACCCACATTATCCTCCCTGATGAGAGCATCTCTCAGCAACTGTACCAGGCCAGTGAAGAGATAAACGATGTATTTATGGATTGGCAAAGAGGCCAGTTGTACTGGCTGGAGGATGGTCAGATCATCAATATGAAGCTAGGCTTGATGGGTGGGAATGCAAAAGCCATATACAGTTTTGAGGAGAAGAGAGTCAACCATATTGTGCTGGACAGAAGAGCGAACAGCTTCCTTTGGAACTTTCAAAATGGTTTGTATTTTTTCCAGATTATCTTTAAAATGTACAACTTCCACCTTGATATGAAACACATGCTGTCGACTCATCACACCTTATTTCCTTCACGGTTTTAGAGCTGCAAGTAATGAGTCTTCTAAAGATGAGGAAGTACTCTGCTGGTAAAAAATGGTCTATTCCAGACCTGATTGTAGCTGCCTATGAGCCCTTCATGGTGACCATGCTCAATGATGTCATCACGCTGTGGAAACGGCAGGATGGGACGCGTGTTTGGGCGGTCAGTGTGGAGAGCGGTGTATTTGGAGTTACCATAGCTATGAAAGAAGTAAAGCAAGGTCAGTAAAGCTATATCTTTTTTTTTTTTTAATTAAGAGCTGAATGCACTTTGTTTTAATCAAGCAGATTAAAAAGCAGAGTAAAGCTCTTCTGTCTTAAATTTCAAATTAACCTTAAGGGCTGCAGCACAGATTACTCTGCTGTGATACACCTGTTTTAATTAGGTGGGCTTAATTAGTGTGGTCAATCCTAATTGATTGATTGGATTTCGATGCTGGATTCACGGATTGATATTGCCACTATATTTTGATCACAATTCAAACGAAGAAAATGATTACGTTGTTGCACAGCTTACTAATGAACATACATGTATGAGTTCTTTGGTGCTGGTTGTTTGCAAACTTTGGTTTTCGGCCTCTCACAATTGTTACATAATTGCCTAATCGCAATTATTTGTGGTTGCACATTTAAGCTACCTGCAGTGATTTTTCCACAGTTAGGTTTCACAGTTCAACAAGATGTCAATTATAGTTGAGGCAAATATAATAAGAGTAAATGCATTCAATGAGACATTAGGCTTATAAAAAAATTTCACATTAACTTGGTGCTCAAACATGTTTACAGGGCAGCGCTGCGTAATGACCACTAAAAACCACTTTGAGACAGCACAGACTTGTAGGCAGAGGTGAAAAGATCTTTAAGCAGATTTAAAATTAAGAACGAGAGGACCTGATGACGGGTAGACTATTCTACAGTATTTGGCTGATGCAGAGAACGCACAGTGCCACTTAAACCTCTCTTGGGTCTGTGAAAGGCATTTTATAAGAGAATCCAAGAGACCTGGAGGTAGAATAGGAACAGCAAATCAGAAATATAGGAAGTAACCATTATAACATTTTAAAAACAAATGTTCATTTGAGAGCTTGTTAGTTTATAAATGTTAACTATTAAAGAAAGGCCTGTAAAGGGAAGTGTACTGTCTTTCCTTACTTTAGGAATATGGAAGTTAATGCTGGTGTCTTTTTCTGGTAATGCTTTTCCCCCCCACCCCCTCTTGCATCAGAGGAAGGCTTTAGGAATGTGTCACCCACTCGAGTGACCTGTAGCAGCCCCTATGTCTTGTGTAGACAAACACCAGTCTGCATCTCACAGATCCAGCTGTGTGATGGAAAGAAAGATTGTCCTGATGGATCAGATGAGACATTCTGTGAAAATATCTGCAGAAAACAAGGTAACTTAAAAAGAAAGTGGAGATAGATTGGCAGATGTAGTTTATTGATCAATGGGAAATTTGGGTGCTGCAGAAGCAAAAGAATGAATTTCATAAACACAGTTTAATACACGTGTATGCATCCACAGTGCAAAACATCTGTTGAAACATCAATTGAAATTCACCTTCAGATGGGAAAATGTGTTCAACGTGACTTGTTTTTAAAGCGTTTTTCTCATCCAGGTGACTTCTTGTGCAAGGACAGAAAGTGCGTTAATAGAGCACTTGTCTGTGATGGGCACAGTGACTGTGCTGATGGATCTGATGAGGTGGGTTGCCCCACTTCTGTTGCAAACACCAGCAAGGAAGCTTCCGTGAGGTGCCGTTTGGGCTCAAAACCCTGTAAGGACAGCAGTGAATGTGTCCTGCTTAATCATGTATGTGATGGAGAGGTGGACTGTAAGGATGGCTCTGATGAAGAGGGATGTGAACATCAATGCAGAGCAGGTTGGTAGTACAGAACTGACCTTTGCCTTATGATGTCCAGTTTACAGGATGCATGTGAAGTCATCTTAATGTTTCCCAGATCAGTTCCACTGCGCTCATGGGCGAAAGTGTATAGACAAGAAGCAAGTCTGTGATGGGACTCCTCAGTGTCAGGATCGCTCTGATGAGATGAACTGCTTTACACGCTCGGAAAACTGCAACCATCACTGCGACAATAAGACTCGCTGCATTCCAGAAAACTTCCTGTGTGATGGGGAGAGAGACTGTGTAGACGGCACTGATGAAGCAGACTGCCGTGAGTCTTATGGACACTGATGTATATTGTAAAATATCGATGACACTCTTTTGTGCTTTGTTAGATCCATTTTAATTGTTATTTCTTGTGACTTTTCCAGCTTCAGCCACGGTAGCTCCTTCAGATAAACCCTCCACTGAAACAAGCTGTAAAAGTCCCTCTGTACTGTGTGAAGGCACATTACTGTGCATCAATCAGTCTCAGCTGTGTGATGGGAAACTGGACTGTCCTGATGGTTCAGATGAGTTCTCGTGTCCTACTTGTCCTTTGCACTGTGATGAAGGGGCAGTGTGTCTGACCAACCAGCAGTTGTGTGATGGAAAAACAGACTGTAGAGATGGCTCAGATGAAACAAACTGCTGTACGGTCTGAGTTTCTAAATGTAAATTGTTCGTTAGGAAATGTTGAACAGGACTCACTTTTTGTTCCTAAATGTCTGCTTTTTCAGACAATCAAGGACGCAAAGGTACAGCAGCCTCATCCCTGAAGTGTCCTCTTGGTTTCAAACCGTGCAGGGATGGAAGTGACTGTATTCTCACTAGTCATGTGTGTGATGGAGAGAAGGACTGCAAGGACGGGTCAGATGAGAGCGACTGCAAGCGCAACTGTAAAAAAGGTAAAGATTTGGAACAGGATTGTGGAAAACTCCTTCTTTTAAACCATTTAGAGGTTTGCATGTTAGTTGCAGCACTTTGTATTCAACACAATTTTTGTAGTATAATCTAAATAAAGAATTAATAGGTTGAGAATTTAGTGCTCTGCACATTTGTGAATTCTTTAATTTGACATGACTTGTTAAACTTGTAAAGGATTTCAAGAGCACAGAAAAGATAAATGTGCAATGCATGGAGTAGAGCATTGATCTTCCCTGAAGTTTTGGTCTGACCTCAAAAAGACGTGAATTTTTTTTGTCCGAGCCCAACCAAACACGCGGCATCATGCATTGCATCTGAACTAGTCCTGGGCGATTTCTAAAAATAATTTGCATCCCCCAGCAAAATTATGCAGGTTAGGTTAAGCGGTGGGGGTGCAGAGTAAAATTAAAAAATAATGGGAATGGGGCTGTGAGAACCTATGTTAGAAGAATGTTAGAAGTTTGAACGCTATTCGAGATGGACACATGACATGAGCAGTATGTTCCTATTTAGTTCAGACCAATTTTTTTCGCATCTCTAGCATGGCAAACTAATGTACTCTGTGTTCTGGCAATGACAAGTGTTTATAATTTTGCTATAGCATAGTTTTGTTATTGTGTATTGTGATGCCACTCTTATCAAAGTCACATTCATTTCTGTTCTTCTCTCCCACCAGACCAGTTTCAATGTGCCCACGGTATGATGTGTATAGACATGAAGCAGGTGTGTGATGGGACTCCTCAGTGTCAGGATCGCTCTGATGAAATGAACTGCTTTACATGGTCTGAACACTGCAAGCATCACTGTGACAATAGGACCCGCTGCATTCCAGAAAACTTTTCTGTGTGATGGGGAGAGAGACTGTGTAGATGGCACTGATGAGACAGACTGTCGTGAGTGTTTAAATGGACACCAGCTGATATGGAAAATGTTTCATATTGCATCAGATTTGTTCTGATTAATGTTATTTGTAACTTTTTCCAGCTTCTACCATGCTAGCTCCTTCAATTAAACCCTCTATCGAAACGAGCTGTACAAGCCCGTCTATGCGGTGTGAAGGTACATCACTGTGTGTTAGTCAGTCACAGCTGTGTGATGGGAAGTTGGACTGTCCTGATGGATTTCGATGAGCTTTTCTGTTTACATGCATGCTCAGATCCAGGTAATGTATGAATGAGACCTCTGTGACAGTTTGGTACAAGTTTGTGTTTCCATTCTACACATATTTTGTTATTGGAGATAATGGGGTATCCCATTTTAACATAATTTTGAGTATGGTAGAATGTGTTTTTTGGACTCACTGTTTGTTTTCTTGTGTAGGCCAATTCCTGTGTACGAACAAGAGAAGGTGTATAGAGCGGGCTTTTGTGTGTGATGGCTACTCCGACTGTTCTGATGGTTCAGATGAGCTGCAGTGTCCTACTTGTCCTCTGCACTGTGATGAAGGAACTGTGTGTCTGACCAGCCATCAGCTCTGTGATGGAAAAATGGACTGTAGAGACGGCTTAGATGAAAGAGACTGCTGTACGGTCTTTGTCACTACCATGTACATCATTCCTTTACAGCAAGCTCTCATCACTTGTTCTTACATTTCTGAATGCTTCTATTTTGCAGTTAACTCTGTTAGAAAGACTACAGAAGCTTCATCCTTGACATGTCCTTTGGGCTTCAGACCATGCGTGGATGGAAGCGACTGTATCCTCAACAGTCATGTGTGTGACGGAGAGAAGGACTGCAAGGATGGGTCTGATGAAAGGAACTGTGAACGTAGATGTAAAAAAGGTGATTTAGAAAAATACTTTACATAGCTTTCATTTGGATCGTTAGAGCTTTAGTTGCTACAGTTAGTATTACACTTTGTCTGTATTGAATAGAGATTAGCACAGTTCAGTCTTAACTTCCAGAATAGTTATATTACATTTTTGACATTGCCTACTTCTAATAACAGCTACATAGAATTTAGTGTAGACCTGAGTGCCGGCAAAGGACATGGCTTTTGTGAAGCTTGTAACTTTCACTGTGTTTCCTTGTAACCGTCAGGCCAATTTCAGTGCGGAAACGGGAGATTGTGTATAGAGAGGAAGAAGGTGTGTGATGGGACTGCTCAGTGTCAGGATCACTCTGATGAAGTGAACTGCTGCAGTCATCCCTGTGACAAGAACCGCTGCATTCCAGAAACCTTCCTGTGTGATGGAGAGAGAGACTGTGCAGACAGCAGCGATGAAGCAGACTGTCGTAAGTGTTGTGATGGGGAAAGGGATGAAGGAAAAATGTGGACCATCTGGGGGGCCCCGAGGAACAGGTTGGGAAGCACTGTGCTAAATCAGTTCAATTCTTAAAAAAGACTTCTTTTTATAACCAAAACTGTAAAGTAAATTAATCAGACTATTACTCAATTAACCATTAATGTAATTGGATTCCTAATTCCTAAACACTGACTGGCTTGGAATCAATACTAAATGTTTTTTGAATGTCTTTACAGCAAGACCAAATGGAAATATGGTAAATAGAATATCTTCCAACGGTGTGTCAACACTCTTACCTGCTCGGACTCCAGTCTGTAGAAGTCCCTCGGTGTTGTGCGAAGGCACGTCAGTTTGCATTTCTAAGAATCAGCTGTGTGATGGAAAGACAGACTGTCCCAATGGCTCTGATGAGAGGTCCTGTATAGATTATTGTGCAAAAACAGGTAATGTTTTTAAATGTGGATAATTTACAGCTGGTCTACTTTTCACTAAAATAAGGAGGGGGTTTGCAACTGGTCTTAACAGGATGTGTGCTGTTTTGTGTTTGTTTTACTAGGTGGCTTCTTGTGTAAGGACACAAGGAAGTGCATTGAGAGATATCTTGTCTGTGATGGACAACCTGACTGTACTGATGGCTCCGATGAGGTGGATTGCCCCAGTGTTGCTGTAAAGGCCACAGATGCAGGTCCATTGAGGTGCCGTTTAGGGTCAAAACTCTGCAAGGATGGCAGTGACTGTGTCCTCCTTAGTCATGTGTGCGATGGAGAAATGGACTGTAAAGATGGCTCTGACGAAGAGGGATGTGACCTTCAGTGTAATCCAGGTCAGATGTGACATAATGGGGCAGCTGAATTTTCTTTCATTATAAGTTGTCAAACATCTGCTTTGCAAATATCTGAATTTTTATTAATTATATGTTTCCAAACATCTGCTACATATACAGTTTTGTACAAATACCACACTTCCATAGATGCTGCAGGATGCTCTGATCTTTATTTGGCCAGCTTTTTCATCATGCGTCGCAGTAGTTGTTGGAAGTGGGTACAGCAAAAGCTGTTTACAGTGTTCACCAGGTAATGTAATAACTAGCATTTTCTCTCAGGCCAGTTTCAATGCATTCGTGGCAAAAAGTGCATAGAAAGGAAGCAGGTATGTGATGGGACTCGTCAGTGTCAAGATGGCTCTGATGAAGCAAACTGCTGGAAAGCTACAAGGAGCTGTGCCCTGCGCTGTGACCAAAACAGCCGCTGTATTCCAGAGGTCTTTATCTGCAATGGAATGAAGGACTGCTGGGATGGGTCTGATGAATCTGACTGTGGTAAGTCTTTTCTACTAGTTTTTTTTTTTTTCCCCCACTCTCAGTTTGATCAGTACTGCTGACATGGCTTATACTTGGAATTCTTGTGAGCAGCTCATATTTTAGTTTCTACTTCCATTTCTGATCTTTGCACATCCCTTTCCCTTTTTCTGCCTTATTTGTCTGCAGGCAATCCAGCTGCTTTTTCGCACTGCAAAAGCCCATCTGTACCCTGCTTAGGGAACTTAAAGTGCATCTCCCAGAAACAGCTCTGTAATGGAAGAAAGGATTGTGCAGATGGATCTGATGAGAGACCCTGTATTAAGAACTGCCCCTATGATGGTAGTGCATTTCAGATAACTTTACGAGTAAAACGCATCTGAGGGGAAAAAGGCACCATCAACCTTTTATTTATTGATTGATTTTTATTTTTAAAGTACACTTTTCTACTCCAGGTGACTTCTTGTGTAAAGACAGACGGAAGTGTGTTGACATGAATCAGGTCTGTGATGGCCGTTTTCAATGCACTGATGGCTCTGATGAGGTGGATTGTCCCACTGTGGCCGCTGACACCACCACATATCCCAGCTCCATTGAAGTGCCGTTTGGGCTTAAAGCCCTGTAAGGATGGCAGCGACTGTATCCTGTATAGTCACGTGTGTGACGGAGAAGTTGACTGTAAGGATGGTTCAGATGAAGAGGATTGTGATGTTAGTTGCAGAGCAGGTAAGGGAGGGGGTGTAATCAGGCAATCAGTGGTTACAGTAATAAACTTTTCCATCTGAGTTTTTTCTTTGTCTTTCTTACTGTCTTTCTTTTATGTACTTTTTTAGGGCAGTTTCAATGTGCTCATGGAAAGAAATGCATTGATTCTAGTCTTGTGTGTGACGGGAAGCCACAGTGTCAGGATCGCTCTGATGAAATGGACTGCTTTACACGCACGAAAAGCTGCAGCCATCGCTGTGACAACAAGACCCGCTGCATTCCAGAAAATTTCATGTGTGATGGAGAGAAAGACTGTGTGGACGGCAGTGATGAAGCAGACTGTGGTTAGTTTATTTATTTATTTATTTATTTATGTATAAAATAATAAATAATAATTATCAGGGCTGTATTACTTACCAAAGTGCTGAAACTAGGCCTGAGTGATATCTAAAAATAATTAGTATAATAATCTTCCCCGCCCCTCCCCAGATCCACGCTTAAACGTTTTAGATTATACCTACTTTTTGTGCTATTTTTGGCTTATGTGTTTCTGACTGATTTACAGAAAATCAGATATAATACTGATGACTCTTTACACTTTCTCTAAAATATTTTGAAAGCTATTTAACCTCTCACTTTAACAGTTGTTACATACATTTATGAATTCCTGCTAGTATGGTTTTGTGACCGCTTGGCCTGAAACACACTTCGCACAAGGACATGAACACGGACCCTTCGGGCTACGCTGACAAAAATAAAATATGCCGTAACCTAGTGGCTCCTTAATGCCCTGCAATAATCCATTGTTTTAACTGTAAAAGGGAGTAAAAATTACATGTGTATATTTATATGTGTGTGTGTGTGTGTGTGTGTGTGTATATTAGATAGATATGTAGATATAAAATATGCAAAACTATCATGCTGTTTAATTTTAAAGAGTCCTCTCCAAAGTGGTTATCGCTATCTGAAGCATCATCAGCGGCTTAGTTGTCAGTTATAGTTGGTTATTTGATTACATGATCCAGGCCTAAGCTGTGACATTGCATATTTTCATCACAGACGGCTGGATAATTAACTAATGAGTTGTGAAGTGGATGCGTTAGATGAGGGACAAAGTGATGCGGCCTTTGATGAATAGTGGTTATAAGCTCTTAATATTATCTTGTCTAGGCTACCCTACCCAGGTCAGAAACTGTGATAGCCCCTCTGTCTTGTGTCGAGGGGGGAGATTGTGCATCTCTAGCACTCAAGTGTGCGATGGAAAGAGTGACTGTCCCAGATGGCTTCGATGAAGAGTCTTGCCTCAAAAGATGTCCTAAGCGAGGTAACAGGAGAGTTTGGACAAAATACATATCTTTAAAGCCTATATACACACCCCTGAACTTTAAAATCTGCACCCAGACCGGGTGGATTTTAATTATTGATGTTTACCTTTCATTATTGCATATAGGTGACTTCTTGTGTAAGGACAAGAGGAAATGTGTTGAAAGGTCTCTTGTCTGTGACGGACGCAGTGACTGTGTTGATGGCTCTGATGAAGTGGGTTGCCCTACTGTTGCCTCAAAGACCAGCATGGTGGCTCCCTTGGGGTGCCGTTTGGGCACAAAGCGATGTAAGGATGGCACTGAATGTGTATTACTTAGTCATGTATGTGATGGAGAGGTGGACTGTAAAGATGGATCTGATGAAGAGGAATGTGAGCATCAGTGCAGAGCAGGTAATGAGGTTTTCCCTTGTTTTTGTATTTCTTATTTATTTATTTTATTTTTATTTATTTATTTATTTATTTAAAAACATTTAGACTTAAATCTTTTCCAGATCAGTTCTACTGCGCTCATGAGCAAAAGTGTATAGATAAGAAGCAGGTGTGTGATGGGACTCCTCAGTGTCAGGATCGCTCTGATGAAATGAACTGCTTTACACGTAATGAAGTCTGCAGCTATCACTGTGACAACAAGACCCGCTGCATTCCAGGAAACTTCCTGTGTGATGGAGAGAACGACTGTGTGGACGGCAGTGATGAAGCAAACTGCCGTGAGTACCGTTGTGAAGGGTCACAAAAGGGGAGGACAAACTATCATGGCAAATTTTTTATTTTTTTTTAATTATTGTTTTAATAACGAAAAAATACAATAAAAATGCAGGTCATGAGCGGTTATGGGTTATTATAGCTTGCCTTGAATGTCGTGCCTGGAGTTGTTTAGACTGAGTCAGTGTAGTTTGTTTGGTTTGTCAGCAGCTGACAGTAATACAGCAACACTAACTATTTAGCAGCTTTCAAACTGCGATGATTTGAAAACGTCGTACCTCTTTACAGCTGACACCCCTAATTGGTATTAGGGATGCACAGATATGTGAACTGTGGGCTGATGCCGATGTCTCATAAATAAAGCTTTATAAATTTGCTTCAGTGTGTAGAGTAGGGAAAACGCAAGGTGCAGAGCATGAGGTCGCCAAGAATTGGAAACCTCTGGTCTAGATAATGCTTTGTAGCACTTGCTGCGTCTTTTAATCTTAACCTTTCTAGTTTTCCTATAGGGATAGTTTCTTCATATTTTAAGGACTTAAAATTCTCAGAGTTACGTTCTGTGTGAATTAATTGAAAGAACACATTTATACTCATTTTAATCCTTTTTCCAGCTCCTGCCACTAAAGTTCAGGCATACAAATCATCTTCTAAAATCAGCTGCACAAGTCCCTCCGTTCCGTGTAAAGGCACATCACTGTGCGTCAGTCAGTCTCAGCTGTGTGACGGGAAATTGGACTGTCCTGATGGATTTGATGAGCTCTTCTGTTTACATGCATGCTCAGATCCAGGTAATATGTGATAATATAGTGTGTGTCTCAAATGTAATTTCCATTCCAGATATGGTTTCTAACTGTATACTGTATTCCTTGTTTAGGTCATTTCCTGTGTAAGAACAGGAGGAAGTGTATAGAGCAGGCTTTGGTGTGTGATGGCCACGCTGACTGTCCTGATGGTTCAGATGAGCTGCACTGTCCTACTTGTTCTCTGCACTGTGATGATGGGATGTTGTGTCTGACCAGCCAGCAGTTCTGTGATGGAAAAATGGACTGTAGAGATGGCTCGGATGAAAGGAACTGCTGTATGTTCTGCTGTAATGATGCGTACATGTTGACGCCTCTAATTTATTTATTATTACTGTGTATATATTAATTTTTAATTTCTAAATTAGACAACAGTGGACGCATAGCAGCAGGAGCTTCAACCCTGAAGTGCCCTCTGGGCTTCAAACCATGCAGGGATGGGAGCGACTGTATCCTTAACAGCCATGTGTGTGATGGAGAGAAAGACTGCAAGGATGGCTCAGATGAGAAGGACTGTGAACGCCAGTGCAAAAAAGGTAAATGGAAATGTTGGCCCGTTTGTCAGTATATCAGTGGTTCAAAATGCAATTAAAAGGGATTTCCACTCATTTTCCTAAAATCATTATAATTCAGTTGTTCAGACCTGAAATTTTTGCTATGCAGCACTCTCTACTTTCAATGGATTTTAAATAAGATTTTAGGCCAGTGGCTATCTTAAAACAATGTCTCATCAGGCAGCACTGATATTGGGACACCTTACCCCTAGGTGTGAACGCGCAAAGCGGAGGGGTAAGGGCTAAGTAGTAGGGGCAAGACGTGAAATGGGATTGGGCCTTTATCTTGCATGAATCAACCAGTCAAATCCTTGGTAAAATTTAACTCTAGTAGTCAGTGCAACATGAGAGCACTGAGAATGATGAGATTTTTGTTTCCCTTTGACCCATCAGGGCGTTTTCAGTGTGCTCATGGAAGGAAGTGCATAGACATGAAGCAGGTGTGTGATGGGACTCCTCAGTGTCAGGATCGCTCTGATGAAATGAACTGCTTCAAACTGTCTGAGGATTGCTACCATCACTGTGACAACAGAAGCCGTTGCCTACCTAAAAGCTTTGTCTGTGATGGAGAGAGAGACTGCTTTGATGGCACAGATGAGACTGGCTGTGGTGAGTTCAAGAAGGCATTGACATTCCACTACTTTTCTGCTATTGTTGTCATGCATTTCTTTATTGCTCAAGATACCCCTGTGTGTTTCTCTCAACACGTAATAGAATCGTCCATAATTAGTTAAAACCTCATAACATTTAACACTCATATCATTATTTTTTTTACTTTTATAAAGTTATGGTTTCACGGATGTTTGAAGAAGGTTACCTTGTGACAGCGACATTCACATTTGTGTACATCATTGTAAAATAGTTGTCGTTTTTCAGCACCAGGGCCATGTTGGAGTGGGCAGTTTCAGTGTGTCAGTGGCCAGTGCGTGTCCACAAAGCTCCGCTGTGATGGTCATGCAGACTGCCACGATCATTCTGATGAGAAGGGCTGTCGTAAACCTCCGCACTGCCCACTGGGGGAGCGTTGTCCCAATAGCCATGAGTGCCTTCTGAAGGAGTGGCTCTGTGATGGTCATAAGGATTGCACTGATGGTTCTGATGAACAGGTAAGGGCCAGTTTGGCTTCTTCCAGCTTCATTTAAGCACTCATCTTTATCAGCAGGAATTATTTTTATGGTTTATCACATTTAAAATCTGAAATGATGTGGTTCAAGATGTTTTTGTGATTAGTTGGAAAACCACATGGATTTTCTTTAGAGATGCTGTTTCACAAGCCCACTGTGTGCTGTTATTCAGGATTCCACAAAGACTGATCTGTTTGAGTGAATGTTGTTTTAGAATTGCAAGTCATCTGTGCTGCAGTGTGGGGAGTTCCAGTGGTCGTGTGCATCTAAAATTCAGTGCGTTCCCTCATCTTGGAGGTGTGACGGCACAAGGGACTGTAAAGATCAAAGTGATGAAGCTGGATGTAAGTAAACTTTCTGTTCCTGATGCTGCCGCAACGCTATTGTTGGGTAGGCCTGCACAGTGTAGACAACTTTATATTACAATGCACTTTAAGACATGTGGGGGTACTTACTTGCTTACTTACTCAGTCAGTCAGTCAATCAGTCAATATTGTTATAATGATGAGCAGTTTCATATTGTAGCGGCCCAACAATATTATCCCTTAAGGAAAATTCAAGTTTGCTGTTTTTGTCCAGGTGGAAAGGTGAAATGCCCCACTCACCTGTTTCAATGTGTAAATGAGGAGTGTGTGAACCCTGAGCTGGTTTGTGATGGTGTTACTCACTGTCAGGATGGCTCTGATGAGGGTCTGGGGTGTCTCAATAACTGCTCCAGCTCACGAAGGCCACAATGTGAACACTACTGTATCAGCACTCCCCAAGGAGCGGTTAGTGATTATACAGCTTGTTTATAGAAGATTTGTCTCTAAGTGACCTGAGTTTAAGATTAAGTTGTGCTCTGATTTTTCTTTGTTTAACGTCTGTATGTGAAGTTTTTGTGCATAAGTGTCCCTTGTTGTTCTTACTCTTCTAGAAGTGTGGCTGTCGGGCTGGCTTTAAGCTCCAGGCAGATGGTTTATTTTGTGTAGATATAGACGAGTGCAAGGATACTCAGCCTCCTGTGTGCAGCCATAAATGCCATAACACACACGGCTCTTATGTGTGCCAGTGTCAGCCAGGTTTCTTACTGGAGCCAGACGGCAGCACATGCAAAAGCCCAGGTAGGAGCAACAAATCAGTCATAAAACCATTAGGTTCAGCACACACATTGGCTCTTGTTTTAGAGTTTTGATATGGTGGTGATAATTTGCATATACGCTTGCTGAATCGTTCCCTTCACAACATATTGTCATACATACATTATGTGGATTTATAATGATTTTCACAGTCTGTGCAGTTTAGAAATTCTAACAGATGTATTTCATTCACTATTAATCTGGTTCTTTATCTTATGCTACATATAGAGGAGCCCCATCTTTTGGCCGCAGTGCAGTTTGAGCTGTTGTTTAAAGACCTGCGGAGCGGCAACCTCCAGATACTGCTTCCCCCAGGGCAGACGCCCATCTTTTCTCTGGACTATGACTGGATGGAACAGAAACTGTTCTGGGTTAACCTAGAGGAAGAGAGCATCAAATTTGCTGTCCACGGAGACAAGGGCAACATCAAGGCACTTGTTAAAGGTCTGAAACTGAGAAAATTACACTTGCTTCATTTGTTCACTAAAAGCAGGGTATAATTCTGGTTATAATTTTTGGATGACATTGTAGGGTTTAAATTGAATAAAATGGGGTACTTTTATTTAAGCTGGATTTGTGTTTTGTAATTCTGTATTTTGTAATTCAGTACTTCAGCCTTTTCAGTCTGTATCTTTGTTCCCCATTCTCATCCATGACTAGGTGTTAAGTCAGACTCCATTGCTGTGGACTGGGTTGGGAGGAACCTGTACTGGGTGGATGGTGTTGCTAGACAGATTTTGGCAGTAAGACTTGGCAGCAGTGTAGTGAAGCCCCAGAACTACATAGTGATTGTGGATGAAGACCTGGAGCAGCCTCGCTCTCTGGTGCTCCTACCACAGAAAGGGTGAGTAAGAGTCCTTCCTCATGTAAATAGAAGACACATTTGTTAATGTAAGTGATCTGTTTTATTTATTTTTTGTAAGAAGTGTGTGTGTGTGTGTGTGTGTGTGTGTGTGTGTGTGTGTGTGTGGAGAACTTCACTCCTACCTCCCTCATTGATTAACTAAACCACTTTATTGCCTGTACTGGTATGATACTTCAGGATGATGCTGTGGTCAGAGATTGGCAGTGAGCCACGGATTGAGCGTGCTGGCATGGACAGTTCACAGAGGAAGGTGGTGCTACGCCACAGTCTGAGCTGGCCTGTGGCCATGGCTGTGGACATTCTGACTGACAGAATGTACTGGACAGATGAGAAGCTCAAACATATTGCTTCAGCCACACTGGATGGAGAGGACATCAGGGTAATTGGAGCTTTGTTTCCTAGAGAAGTCTCTCTAGGAGAATCATTGCTCTAAGATCAGTGAGGGATCACTTTGCTCTGAAGGTTAAAAATCTTAAGTATAAAATCTTGTGAACCCCTTTAACTTCATGGTGTAAAAAAATGTATTGATACTGTGATGCATTTATTTAAAGTTGGTGATTCAAGTACATTTGAGTATTAATTAGGGTCCATGATTTGACTAGTTCCTTAAAGAGTTGTAATGGAATCTTTTAAGTTATATTTACACCTTCTGACCAAGGGTCCATGCAATGAAATTTTTTTCTTAACCTTCTTTCCTGTGTAAAGATCCTGCAGCTCACTGAGACCCCAAGCCCCTTTTCTGTGGCAGTGTTTAATGACATGGTATATTGGTCCGACACCCAGAGGCGAGCAATTCTTGGGGCTCACAAAACTACCGGCAAGAACTGTACAGTTATTCTAAAAAGACCTGGTCAGCCATTTGGGCTCAAAGTAAGTATTTACCTTCCGTTACTGTGTACAGCTGTGAAACTGTCCTGTATCTGTTAAGAACACCAAGAGGTTTAAAATGTGATGTGCAGTATTATACTTAGCTTACACAATTACTGTCTTTTGTATTGTCCAGGTTGTCCATCCACTTATGCAGCCTAAGCTGTCTAGGCCCTGTGAGAGCCTCAGATGTTCCCACATCTGTCTGCTGACCCCAGGATTACAGGCAGTATGTCGCTGCCCAGCTGGGCTACTGTTGGCTAAAGATGGAGTCACTTGTAGCCCACTTGAAGACTCCTCTTCATTCCTCCTAATGCTTTCTCCTTCTGTGCTCACTCAGGTACAAACAGCTATCATTTTATAAAGAATCATTTGTCTGTTGCATTTGTTCTGCCTAACCTGAACTAAAATGCCATGTTCTTACTAGATTTGTTTTACATCTGGTAGTACTATAATTTAATCAAATACACTTTTGTACTAAATTTAAATCATGATTCTCTGTGGTATTGTTCATAGTTTTTACAGGGTTGATGATGTTGGGGGGGAAAAAAGTCTATGAACATTCCACATTGTACTGTAATGAATCCAGTTAAACTTGATTAACTGGACTAATGCTCTCATTGTAACAGGGACATGCAGTTGATCAGTGTTCATTAAGTACTGATGAACAATATGCACAGAAGCATATTGTGACAATTTATAACAGTAATAAATGTTGCAATATTCCCCTCCCTCTTCACTGTTCTGTTATTCAGTATCATGTAATTCAGATGTGTACATCTGAGTATGTTTTCATGCACTTGGTTAATCAGATAATGGGAAAACTCCGGGCTTACTTGAATTTCTGCTTTGCATCTGGCCAATAAACTCAAGATGACGTCACGTAAACATAAGAAGAAGAAGAAAAAGAAGAATATTTAAAGCCTTCATTTCATCAAACATGTATTTGGTTTCAGCATCACTTCAAAATTTTGTCCTCATCTCAAGGGTGCTGTGCTTATTTCCAGTACTGCAGTCTGGTTTTGCACATGCATAGACTGAGAAATCTGAAAGAAATCAGAATGAGTCTACATCGCTGAGAAATCTAATTACTGAACTAAAATCCAGCTCTATCAGATTTCTTAATCCGATTTCTAGACCTTACTTAAATCTAAGAAATCAGAGTACGCTGTTTACATGACCATTTGACCAATCAAATAACTGCAGAAATGATCTCCCCGATAAGTCATCTAGCTCCCATAATATTCAAACATTTAGGCTAGAATATAACTGTGATTGTACAGAATCTACAATTTATTAGCTCAGCATTCTTAGGGCGGTCAGCTACATTTTGACCCAAATCCTTGAAATAGTTGGCCCATTGTTATTTTAATGTAAAAGGTTTTCTTTTTCTTCTGTGTAGATTTATACCAGAAGCTTGCGTGGGGAGGTTGGATTAAAGCAGTGGCCCGAACACCGTGCCTTGGCTCTTCCTGGCATAAATGGAGCTACAGGTATAGACCTGGTCCTCCAAGACAACATGCTGTACCTAGCAGATTCCAGCCAGCCCTCTGTGGCTCAGCTTAAACTGGAAGAATCAGGCCTTGTGCCTGAGGGCGATCCTCTGCAGCTGTTGGGAGACACAGTGACTGCTCTGGCTGTGGACTGGATCACACATAACCTGTACTGGAGCAGCATCAAGCAGCCCCAGATCTACGTCTCCTCACCCGGCTGGAAGTACACCGCCATGGTGGTGCAGGCTAAACTCCAGGACACCACCTCCATTGCACTACACCCACCCACAGGCAGGCTGTGCTTTACGGCTGTGGAGCTGGGAGACAGCAAAATCCTGCCTCAGGTGGACTGCGCCTCTATGAACGGCCAGAACCGCATGGTGCTGTGGAAAAAGACACAGATGCCTATGTTTCTGACCTTCTCCAGCCAGGGCTCAACAGTTTACTGGGCAGATATTTGTGAGTTTTGACATTCACTGCTTTAAGTCCATGTACATTATTGCAAGGTTTTACACAGCCTTTACACAGCCTTATGGGGCCATGATAAAGACTACATGTCTAAAAGTAAAATACATGTCTGCAGACAGCTTATTAGTTTTGGTGATAGATTGCAACATGGATGCCCTCCCCAAATTCTTTTAGTTCTTTTATTGTCAGGAGTACAATAGCTTATGTAAGCAAGCTTGCTAGCTAGCAAAACGCTATCATTAGTTAACAGAAGTGTTTTTTTGTGTATGTAATGTGTTATCTGCACATGCATCATGGGCAAATGACAGGCTTGATGTCAGTCTGTCAATGATGATGAGCATACCATCACCCCTTACAAGGCTTTGAATTGTTCAGGGTTAAAAAAACAAAACAAAACAAAAAACTATATGCAAGGTACCTAAAAGATTCATTCACCAAAATCAAATTTGAACAATTTTCAGTTTATCACAAACAAAATTAATCTGCTGTATGTTTTGGTGTCCAAAGTTTTCTTCTTTAAGTTTGCACTGGAGCTTCAAAATTAATGTCAATTGTTAGGACGTTGCCAAAATCTTGGGTGACACCTTATGTTGGCGTTGCACATACACCACAAAGCCAAGGAGGCAAGTGGACACCATACATGTCTTGGCCAGTCAACTATGTTTGAAGGGGAAAATTGTGTAAATTAGATTTTTGTTAAATCATCCCTTCAGGCATCTTACATTTAGTTTAGTTTTATTCTTTTACAAAGTATAGCCTTGTAATGTACATGGAGCTTTTCAGTAATATTTTGGCCAGTTGTGCATATAGAAAAAAATGTTGCTTAATTTTATTATTGAATTATAAATAGGAGAATTCTGAAATGAAATCTAATGAGTAACAACAGAATATGGCAGTATAATGGAAGATGAGTTTTCTTCCAATGGGCATTATTAGTAAACATTCCTGCACTGTGTCCAGAAGTAAGCCCACATGCTTCCGGTAAGGAGATAAAAATATTGTTATAAATTTACTGGAATAGAGGACGTACATGATTGTGTCTGTTGCAAGAAAGTACAAAATAATTGATTGAAAAAAACAGTATTGCAAAATTTTAATAATGCTATGTGTGTTTTGTTTGTGTAAAATTAGTCATTTTCTGGAATTGGCTGACTCACAGTTAAATAAACAGGCAAATATTTTTTGTTCCCACAACACTTAATGTCCTTGCTGTCTTATGGCACATGCGCGCAACAGTTTCAATATGATGCACCAGCAGCTAATGTGCATTTCCCAGAATTTGTACTCATTTCTCTCTTCCTCTTCTCCAGCTGCTGAAGTTATTGCCTCTGTGGACATTGATGGCTCCAATTACAGAGAGTATAAAACTGGACCTCCCTTAATTGTCTCTTTTGCCAGAAGCGAGAATATCCTCTTCTGGGTCACCCTCTACAATGGTAATTACTATAGCACTTGTTACACTCATTGATAAAATACAACTCTTTGGTTATACCAGCAGATGGCGTGATGGTGTCATGTTTACATTGTTGCATTCATTAACTTGGAGCCTTAATGTATCATAAATCTTTGACACCTTTCTCTTTTTCTTTTTTTTTTCTTCGTAAAAAGTGAGTTTAGCTGTATTGGAAATACTAGATTTTAGTGTTATTCCAGAACACTGATTATAGAATTTTATTAGAACTTAAATCAGTGAAAATTCCTTTTTAATTAATTTTTTCAAAATGTATGTATAATTTAATCGTTAAGATCAAAAATGGTCATTCAGATTGTTTTGATGTGAAACAAAACATTATAGGGAAACTTACGAACTCTGATGTTTTTACCATGGTGGTAATGAGATCCACAGGTTGCAATATTTACAACGTAAATATAGCCATTTTATTTGCCATCCAAAACACACCATGAACCTACATGATCAGAATTTGAATATGTAATGTTGGTGGCAAATCTGTTTTAAATGGGTTCCATTTTGTCTTACAACATGCATGTACCTCTGTGCCATAAATGCATTTTAAAAATATATTTTAGGTCAAAAGCTTATCTCAAAACCATTAACATTTCATCAGGGCATAGCTTTGAGAGCCATTAAACGCTTTGGATGTCTGCTTCCTATCACTACAATTTGTGAACAATTCTGAACCAAGATTCTCAGGTATAATTCAGGTATACAAAATTTTTAGAAAATTTGGTCTAATTCCTCTTTATCAGATGTTGGTCAACTCTCAATTTAACATTTACTTGAATTCCTTCTAGGCACAACCAAAGTGTGGTACAGTGATGGCGTCCAGCCTAAAAAGATGTGGTTTGAAGTGCAGACCAACATTGTTGCATTGAAAGCTTTCAGCAAACACAGCCAGAAAGGTATCTTCATGGTGCACTGCTCAGATCATCTATTATTGTCATCTCTTCTGTCCCTTGTTTTTCTTTCTGTCCCTCCCTTTCTGTCCCACTCCACTCCTCTCTGTGAAAGGCTTGAAAAGAGGGCAGGTGATCAGATATCTCTTCAAAAGACAGTGTCTGGTATGCAGAACAAGTTCAAGCTTACAAAACAGAGCCACATTTAGGCCTCTCCTTTCATTCAGCTGTTCTCACACTCTGACATCTGTGCATAGCTTCAGCTGTAGAACTAGTTCAGCAAGTAAATACTTTGCATACAACGTATTAACCTGAAAGTAAGTGGAGCTATTCTTTATCTCTGCCATATTCTATCAAAAAAAGCCATGTGTATGTGATCTGCTTATGTCCCACCCCTTCTTGGTACTAGGATCCAACCTGTGTGCTGAAAACAATGGGGGTTGCAGCCAGCTGTGTCTGGCATATCCTGGTGGGCGTACATGCCACTGTACGCAGGGCTACCTCGTCGTAAACGCAACCCAATGTGTATCCAGTCCGGAGTGCCCAGCAGGCAGTAAACCATGCAGGAATGGACATGAGTGTCTGTCCAGTGTCAAGTTTTGTGACAGAGTTCCAGACTGTCATGATGGCTCAGATGAAGAGGACTGTAAGTTTAATGTGAACAGTTTCATACACATTTCACTAAAGATGAACCAGTATGGGAATTGCCTGCCAATGCAAAAACTCAGAATTTCACTTGCATTCAGTGGGGTTTAAAAGTATAAGAACACTAGTGCAGATCTTTCTATTTTGCATTTTATTCTAATTTAATACAAAATTTTTCATTCCAAATTATCAGCATAATTTTATTTAAAAAAAAAAAAGTCTTTTGAAATATTTACGTCCTTTACTTTAATCACATGTAGTCAAACTGGCATGGACCGAAGTTTGACTAAAATTAGTTGATCAAATCCACCTGAGAGTTGCCTGAACACAAGCTTCGGTGGAAGAGAGAAGAACCAAAAAAAAACTGACTTTTGTACAAAGGGCTTAACACAATGTCACAATTTTTTTTAATTCTAGTGAAAATTAAATTATAGTGACCTAGAAATAGTGTAGAACCCTTTTTTTCAATTTACTTGTCATAACTTTTTCTTCATTTTAAACTTTTAAAAATTCTAAAAACTTATATACAGATTTTTGTTATTTTTTTTATTTTATTAAATATGCATTTAGAACTTTGGACCCTTTGCCTATGCCATTACAACACACATTTAGATTTTTTTCTTAGCATGGTGAAAAAGCAGCGTATCCATGCGGTTTACTTAATGTTAGCTTAGCGAACAGGCTACAGACACAAACGGTGCAATCGCCACAGTAACAGTTTGATTCTGACTAAGCAGTGCTCTACTGACAGAAGTTTAGATGATAAAAAGCTAAAGTCTCAGAGAGCAAAAATCAAGAGTGACAAACTCAAAATCGAACCTGCTCTGTGCTGTTTGGGATTGTAGGGTTTTATTTAGCAGGCCAAACATGCCACACAGCGCAGGTTTTGTTCCAGCTAACTGATGCTAAAACTACACCCATTTAGAGGACATCTGAGAGCATAAAGTTCAGTGACACAGAACATCCAACATTCAAAACCATTGCTTTTAATAAAAGTATGTGCCCCGGTGCCAGCGCTCAATGACTCTGAGCACTGTCTAGTTTCTCTGTATGTCACAGAGCACCACTTGGTATTTAGTATGTTAAATTAAAGCCACGTTGAGACCACAGAAATCCACTGTAGATAACGTGGCTTAAAATTTACACAGAAAGGCATTCAGATCTCAGCTAACATTACAGCCTAGTCTTTTTCAGCTCAGCTAACGAAGAGCTGTTAGTAAAGTAGTAAACTGATGCCTAGTGTGATTAATCATGATGAGCAAAAAAAAAGGAAACCCAAAAAAATAAAAGAATGATATTTGTTTATACTGTTGCACATATCTAGTGATTGACGTTGAAGTTGTGACTGTTTTTAAGCCCCATCACAAGTGACTGTATGCCTGACTGATATTCCTTTCTTTACACTCTCAGGCACATACATGAAGGTCAAGCCCGGTTTCAAACACAGAAAGCCTTCTGCTCCAGGCTCAGCTGGTATTGCTGGCTCCCCTCAGGATAATGAGGTGTTGGTACGCACACTGGGCGGTCAGTCCTGCAACTCTGAGCTGTGTAATGGCCGAGGTCGATGTGTGATGCATAAGGGGGAGCCAGGCTGTGAGTGTGTGCAGGGCTACAGTGGAACATACTGTCAGGAAGGAGGATCCAGCAGTGCTCCTGTTGTCCTTTCCGTTCTCTTCATCATTGCAATAGTCATCGCTGCTGCTGTGATTTTAAAGAGGAGGTATGCAGCCTGTTTTTCAGAACTGTTTCAAAGCTCTGCAACATCAGAAAAACACAAGAAATGGCTGCTTTAGAGATGAGCAGTGTGATACTGTCACATTCAATAGTTGCAACACTGAACAACTACATGTTTAATTAAAAAGGTTTAGATGAGGCTTCCAAATTTGCATTGTTCGGTTTTTGACAATGCTAAGTTCATGAAGGCATGCCTGGCCCAGCTCTATTGTTGTGATGTAATGCTGCTGTGCAGCAGTGAATGGGAGAGAAAATTGACAAATTGAACTGCTAGTTTTAGTAACTTTTTTTATTTATTTATTTATTTTTTTAAATAAACGTGACATTACTGGTGCAATGTGCTTCTCAAACTTTAGAAACTGAAAGTGTGTTGTTGATTTTCACAACACACAATATACCTAACTGTCATTTTGCTGCTTAACTAATTTGTTCCTGGCTGTTTTTATTGATCTGTTTACTTGTGTCCTCCTCCATCTCCATGACTTTTTACAGAAGAGACAAAGAAGCAAGGGGGCAGCCCACTGACAAGGAGACACTCATGAAGGACATGGAGGAACATGAGGAACCTGAGGCTCATCCTCAAAACTTTGTCAATGAACTCTACAACCCTAAAGAGGAGGTATGTTCACTTTCCCTATAGTGGTATGTTATTGTTACTCATTGTTTCATTTTAGTCTAAGCAAGCTGTAACTAAAGAAAATATGGTGTGAAATGGTTGATACACTATTGTTCTTTTGATTTGTTTAGTTGTCTGTTCTGAACTACCTTCTATTATGTGGCATCTTCTCTTCCACAGGAACAAGCAACTGAATCAGTGAACTAAATCTAAGATTTTTAAATAAAGAATGTAACCTGGGCAGAAACCTTGGTGTGTTTGTGTTTTTATTTGTACAACCAGTCACAGACTGGGCAGACATTACAATACAGTGCAAAATCAAGAGATTAACAATCATTTTTAATTTCCATTCTTCAGAGATGGTTAGATAGAAAATCCACCTCCATAAATAAGGGGAAAGTCAAAAGATCAAGAACTTCAGATCTCTTGCCTGAGATCCATTTCTGTCCATCCTTCCACTGTGAGAAAACACCATGGGTCTGAAAGGATGTGTAGCTCTCAAGAAGCTATTACTGAGGAAAGAAAAAGGACAGGAATTAGGTCTCATTCACCAACCTATCTTACGAAGAACTTATACAGCTTTCACAAAGATTCTGACGTTTACCAATGTTTTATTTGGGAGTTATTAGGTAAGAACAAACTCTACACACTTAAGAACACAAAGGTGTAAACAATTCTGTGGTTTAAGAAAACATTAATCTGATGTAGACTTTTTTCTTAGGACCTTTCTCAAGAACACATTTAAGAAAAAAACAGACATTGGTGAATGAGGCCCAATGAACTTTGCACTCCAAAGCCCAGAATGTGTTTTGATTACTTGGATCATGAGAAGCAGAAAATATAGCCAATTTCTAAGGCTGAATTTTGGAGGTGTGGAAAAATGTCCTTGCATATTTCTTCGAAAAATGGACAGCAAGTCTCCCAAAAACAATGGAAGCTGTAATTAAAAAAAAATGGATAAATACTGAAATCATTTTATAATTAGTTCTGTAAATAATCTGTACTGCGTTGGTGGATTAATTAATAACAAAGCTAAACTGGACCCCAAACTAAGGTTCCACCCATCAAAGCTGTAGAAAGTTACTGTGACTTGTATGAATTTTGTAAGGCCCCTTCCACACTTTTATGAGTGACGCGTGCTTATAAGTTTGGTTTGAACTGTGACGTTGCTCTATAAATATTTACTCTGCTGATAAAGGAGTACAAAAGGTGAGCGCTATAAGCAGACTGTAATGAAAGGTTGTAGGTGTGCTGCAGTACATGAACCTCTTGCACAAAATAATTAATCTTACTAAAATGAATTTGTAAATTACTACTTGAGCCTTATGAAAACATGCTACACTCTGTACTTACCACAGGCAATTAGGACTTCAATATCTGGTGCATAGCTGACTATAATACTTGTACACTAATAGCAGTAATAAATACACTGCCTGAACTGTTAAGGGCAAGCTGTAAAGTACTGTTTAAATTGTAGAAAAATGTGACTCAATTTACTTGCATTGCCTGATAATCTTGTTAAAGCTACCATACCAGTGAATTGTAAAAATTGCAGAAGAAATTTAACAGCACATTTGTCACTTTTTGTTTATAGTAGCTTGGATTACACAGCAGTAACTTACTTAGTGTTCAGCTATGTACATACTTCCCCATTGCATGCTGTGTACATGCCTGTGTTCTATCTTGTCTAACCATCTTGGAGTGCAGTGTCATACAAAACAGGTCTTGTCCAGTCATGCAAAGCCAGACTTTCTTTCAGCACGGTCACGGCAGTGGTGACTAAACTCCATAATCTGGCATGTAGCCTGAAGTGTGGGGAAGCTACATGGGTGAAATATAATTAGACTCCCTGTTCCAGTCCTGGGGAGGGTGTTACCTTTTCATTTTAGCCTCTGGCTGAGTGGTCACCTGACATTCTTTCTCTGCAAAAGACTGTTCTGTTTCTTTTAACTACTGATATGTTTGAAGTGTGAGTTAGAATGTTCTGTGTATCCAACATTACATGACTGCTTTGATGTCTGAGTAAAATTACATCTCCAGACAGTTCACACTCTGAACTGTCATAGAATTGTCTTGAAATAAGTAATATTCTGGATGTGAAAGTCAAACAAGTAAATTTTTAAACTGTGATTTTAGTTTTTTATTCTTAACATGGTTAATGGAAAAAAAAACTATATATATGAGAAATAAAGATTAACATGCATAAATTTGAAGTGATTTTTGTGAACGTTACATGTCGCTGTTGTTGGAAGAAAACCTTGTATCTCCAAAATGATAGATTTACAGGAAAAGGAAAAAACTACTTTACTTTTAATGTAAGTCAATGGAACCAGACGTCTTTCCAAGTCATTTTGGACCATTTCTTTTGCTCCATTGTTTATAAAATTTACACCCAATGTAAAGAGCAACAGGCATCTTCAATTTGTCAAAAACTGAAAAACGACAAAAATGGAGATACGAGGTTTTCTTCCGACAGCAGCGATATAAAAAAAGTCGTGTTAGCTTGTAGCATTAAGGTCAAATGTTTAACCTTCTGACTGAAATCCTGAGTGGTTAGGGCCTTCTCTGGGTTGTTTTGAGACGCAGTCCAACTATGCTGAACCCAGTTTGGGCAATTAAACTTTCAGCACGCTTTACATGTAGACAAACTTCTACCCTCACAGTCGCCTCGTTAGGCAGGATTCTGGTATGTCTGGATGAGAAGCTCACCTGAGATTGCAGGTATGCTGGGTGGCTCCTTAGCCCACAGCGATGAAATGAGGCATTTTTTCCACCACCTGTATTCGGACAAACCCCGCCCCCTGCGCTTGGATTGCTGAGTAGTACAGTGCACGCGCGTGAGCATGAACTTTTGGCCAATCCGAGCGCAGGACGCGGGATACTATCAGCCAATTGTCATTCAATTGCCTGGATGCGGGTGGAAAAACAAATAATGCCACTGAAACAGGGAGGGGAGCTTTTGGCTGATCCTTCCTGTTCGGAGTTATTCAAGACTTGGCTTGTTCCCTCACTTGTTTTTCTTTTTTAGTTGTTTTTTCCCCTCACAAACGCCTTCTTCCATGTTCCCTTCACGCTGAATTCTTACAAGTTGCTGACTACCGCCTTTCACCTGGAAAGTGCCCTGATAGCTTGGAGTGATATCCACCCTGTACTTGGAGAGCCGGTGAGTATAGCATGTAGGTGTATTTATAGTGTGCTGTGTACTTAGCAGATTGGGAAGTTCTTGCTGAACCTGACTAACCGATTGATGAGTCTATAGATGTAGCGCCTCAGTGCGCATGCTTTTTATAAGGTTTGGCTTCAGTTTTGCTATGCTTTTGAGTAATGCTGGTGCCATAGTTCAGACGAGGAGATATTCAGGGACACTGCAGGTATGTTGATGTTAGCATGTTGGACACGGTTTTAATGTTGTGGGATTTGCTATGGAATAGGTGTGTCCACATTATTGATTTAGAAATCATGTACAGCCATTGGCCAAGATTAACTGCACAGGTCTGTGTGCGAAGCCATAATGTGGGTTTTATATGCCATGATTTGTGTATAACTGGACAGGGGTTACAAGTACTTTACATACTGAAAAAAAAGTAATACATTCAGTTTACTTTATTCAAATATGTACATAATTTCCATATTTGTAAAACGTAATACAGCATGTATAATGTTTACAAAACCTGTGTAGAATTTTAGGAATAGAGTAGGAGCAGAGTCATCAGTGTTTCTCCTCACATGGCTTTGTCTCCCTGTAGAGCTTTTAGGAAAGCGTGACATGCCTAGCCTCACCGCCGACCTTCAGAGACTGATGGACTGCAGTGCTCAACGGTGCAATGGCCGTGGCGAGTGTGTGACAGTGGATGGCTTGCCAGAGTGTGAATGTATGCTGGGCTACAGGGGGGACACCTGCAGGGAGACGGTGAACGGCGGGCTGTCTGTTCCTCTCACGCTGGGGGTCCTGGGTGTCCTCGTTGGCTTGATTATTGTGGCTTTCCTCTTTGCATACTTTCGACAGAAGAGAAAAGCACAAATAAGGTATAATCTCAGTGATGTCTGTCTGTCTGTCTGTCTGCCTGTTTCTGTCTTTCTCTCTTTTGCATATTTGCAGTCTTATAAGTCAAGATTCCTAAATGGTTCTTGGTTTGGACATAAGATCTACACTCATAAAAAGGAAAGTTTCCTAGATGGCTCTTTGCTTGGATATATCGTTCCACACTCTTAAAAATAAAGGTTCCACAGTAGTTCTCGGCTTAGATGTACAGTTCTTAAAAATACAGGTCCCTAAATAGTTTCTGGCTTGGGCCTGTGGTTCTACATTGTTAAATAAATAAGGGTGCCTACATGGTTCTTGGCTTGGACATACGGTTACACACTTTAAAACAGTAGTTTCCAAATGGCCTTTGGATTGGATGTACAGTTCAGGGGGGGCTTTAATTTTCATTAAACTTTAAAAAGTTTCTTCCCACTCACACATCACATTTACAAGAACGATGCTTTAAAGAACTTTTCACTGTAAAGTTCTTTAGGGAACCAAAAGTGGTTCTTCTATGACATCACTCCAAAAATTTCTTTCTCTGAAAAGGTACTTCCAGTTTACATTTCTTATTTGCAGAGATGATTCTTTAGAAAAACAAACATTGGAAATTGGAAGGAACCAATAGTGTCCTTCTTTTACTTCTAGCACAATCATGGACGATCTGTTATTTGAACTGTGCTCATAGGGAGCAGGCAGCTGCTGCAAAGGAGGCCCTGAAAAGAAATGGGGACGTTCATTCCCTTCCACACAGTGAAACAGGTTAGTCATCACTAACTCCTTATTTTCTCCACAATATTTTGTAAGGAACAGACCTGGGACTTACTACATGTAATATAGCCACACTGACATATATTGTGCTCCAGGCAACATTTTATTTGTAGACACACCACAACATTTGAGGTGTGCATACGTAGAACAGTTTGCTGGCACTGCTTAAGGCGCCTGCCTATGTTGTAGAGGTGTAACCGAACAACATGATTCTGTGATATGACGAATTTCCGATAAAGAATATTAATTTTGCTTAAATTTTTTAGTCAACTAGTCCAAATTAAGTTCAACTGCCAAATCCAGACCAAAGGATGTAAACAAGCTGTTTTCTTAGAAGACGAATTTAATACACACAAATCATGGCGGAGCATGTAGCACAACCTAAAAAAAGTTTGGTTATGGCAGAAATTATTATAAAAGTATTTGCAGACTTATAAGTAACCTTTATATATGCACAAGAAATGAAAACACAAACTTTGTTTCAGCTGAAAGCAGAATGAGAGTTAAAAACATAGGTGGGGTTAATTGTGTAACAGCTGCTAAAAAGTCTGGTAAAATGCAAACACAATTAATTCAGTATAGTGCTAGGTTGTTTGAGGGTGATAAGATTTAAAACCTAAATGCATAAAATAATTCAAAAAGAGGCTACAAAACTAAAAATAAATAAATAAATAAATCAAATTTACCCCCTGTTAGGTTGTGCCCTGTTGTCCCCTAAATGCTTTCAGCTACAAGATTCAGTTTATATCTAATTTATAATTTATATCACTTTTTGACAGCATGAAACTTGACTGTATCTGATTTACAGTGCATGTTGTTTTGCAAAAGACAGTTAACATGCATAGCACTCATATTACGTCTATGCCTCTACGGACAGTGTTGCAGTCACTTGTGTTGTATTCTGTGCTGTAGTTAGTGCTGTATCTCGCTGATCACTTCCTCTAATTCTCCCAACAGGAAACAAGAGCCCGACAGTATAAAACATCTCCACCTCGACAAAACAGAATATCTCCTGCATCATTTCGCTCATTGCACTTGCTTGGAAATGTGTCTCATTTTGTGACCTTCTTCTTCAGCAAAACACCATGCACTTATTATTTTAGAAGAAAAGGGAAGGACAGGATCCTGTGGCCAGGTGCTCCTTAGATGTGTGTACATGATCATGATAATGATACATTCAGAGTGTTTATATCACCTTACCGTGCTTTCTTGTTATTAAAGCATACAGTGTCTTTTGCTCATGTACAATTGAACAGGCCAGTGAAGTAGCCAAAAGTCTGATTTTATGGTATGTAGATGGACAAATATGTTAGGCAAATGAGGGGAAAAGAGAAAACATCACATTTATGCTTCATATGCTTCAACTGCTGGTTTACAGACAAAACATTATACAATTTAAGCAGCACTATGTAAGATTATTTGTTATAACTGAAAGAAGTAGCATTACAGATTTATAAAAAAAAAAAACATGCTAACATATGGTGAGCACTGCAAGTTGCCCTGTAAAGCCTAAAATAATACTTTAAAAGTCAGAGGCTTTAGGTCGGATTTGGAAGGAGTTTTCCAGACCGCATTATACATCTTTACGCGTGAACATTACACGCACTGGCTCAGTGTTTGGTGCTCAAAGGCAAAATCAACATTATACTGATGAAAATCTCATGACAATAGTAGATAATTCACTCACATCCTCAGAAGACATGTTCTTCTCCAAGTTTTGACTGAGTTCTCTTTCAATACTCTTAGCATGCTCACAATCATCAGATTCATTCACTCGGGGAAGGGGTCCAAAGCACAACCCACATTGCGTTCAATTACTCATTTCCACCAGAGAGGTCTCCAAACCCCAAATATTACATATTGTAGCTTTAAGTTTAAGGATTTCATTCTATCTGTGAAGCTAATACATCTCCCATTTTGTTACAAATGAAATGATTTGTGATGAATGATGATGAAAGACTAATTTTGTCAGTATAAGTACTGGCAGCATCCACAATAAATAATTAGAAAAGCATATTGACGTAATTTATTATATGTCATCATATTGCCCATCCCTATTTTGGAGGTTTGTTCAGGTACACTAATCAAAGCTCATACTTACAATACTTGCAGCTGAAAGTGGTACAACCACATCCTAAAAAAGATATTGCTTGCGTATTCAATAGCAGAGTCATTTTAAATATGTCTTGTAGTTGTAGGTGCTGCTTTACTGATACTGATGTGGCAGTAAGGGAGACAAACGCTTGTGACGAGTGTGTAGTGACTAGTCCCTTTAAAATGCCAAGTATTTCAGTGACGCGCTTTGTCCTTACACAGCTTCAAACCTGACTAGTCGGTTCAAAAGACGCATGCAGTACTGTGCAAAAGGCTAAGGCCACCCTCCATTTATTTAAGTTTAACTGGCCAAGTTATATACAGTGAAATAAAGAACATATTTAACAGAAGACGACACAGAAGATACAACAAGTAAATATAATTCCATATTTTTAGTGTTTATTGCGTCCACTCTTTATCTTTATTACAGCTTCCATTCTTTTCAGTAGACTTGTTTTTCCAAGAAATCTGCAGGGATGTTTTTCCACACTTCCAAAGTTCAGTCTTAGCAGTTGGTTGCATTTTCTGGTGCTCACCATCCAAGTAATCACAAACACATACTGTGACGCTGAGGTCTGGACTCTGAGGTGGGCAGTACATTGTTCTGAGAACACCAGCAGCTTCTTTGGCTAATTTGCAGATCTTCTTGTTTTGTCTATTTCCTTTTTTCTGTAATGGCTTCTTGACAGCTACACATCTTTTGAGCCCCCTAGTGTTGAGTGGCCTTCTCACAGTGGAAGTACCGTTTATCAGATGGTGACAGTTTTGGTGGTCTAGCAGGTCTTGCTCAGTTGTTAGGAGTTCCAATTCCTCTATATCTTAGTTTTTTTTGTTATGTATATCGCTGCTGCCAGAACAAAACCTTGTATCTCCATTATTGTTGTTTTTCAGTTTTCGACATAATTTGAAAATGTCTGTTGTCCTTTACATTGACTGTACATTTTATAATGAATGGATCAAAATACACGGCCCAAAATGACTTGGGAAAAAAGTCCGGTCCCATTGACTTACATTAAAAGTAAAGTAAGTTTTTTCCTTCTCCTGTAAAGTTGTCGTTTTGGAGATTTTGTTCTGACAGCAGCGAGAAGTGAATAATTTTATACCTCATCTCTTCAGAAATAACTCCTGAAAAAGTGATGTGTACTTAATGGCCATTTTGACTGGAAATCAAATAAATGTAGGCTGACCTCTAAACTTCACACTTTACTGTAGGTTGACTCTGCAATGATGAACTACACCTACGTATTGATCCACTGTGGTTCATTTAAACCTTGTGAAAATGCTACTTAAAATCCATCAGAATGTTACGGTCCACTGTATTCAGGTTTGATGCTGAAGCAGATTTATCAGATGCTCTTTTAAAATATGGTTAAAATATGGCTATGGACCATATTAGATACATTTTTTTTTTATAAATTTGTACTTTTCTTAATAAAGACTTCTATTTAATAGTGTGGTTGTTTACCTGTGAACTAAAAATGTCAAACCCATGACATCAATGAGGAAAGATGTTGTTAAGTCGCCTGTGTTGGTGTAAAGTCCACTACCTGCTGTATATATAGGGTGAGGTTCACCACTCTCAAGAACATTCATGATTTACTAACTTACAAACTTTAAGATAAACATGGCAGTGCTTACAGCTTAAAACACGTTCTTAACATGATTAATATTTTTATAACATCAACATTATAGTATCTGCAATGATTTCACAGTAGTTAAGGCACAAGTGCTGTGCTCTGTAGATCATTAACTTTAGCTGTAATCTATATACTAAATGTGTGGAAAACAGTTGTAAATCTTCTAAATTGTTTTTTTATATCTTCTAAAAAATCATATGTTGAAGTACGAGGAACTAAAAAAAAACAAGTTTTGTGTTTGCACAACTTGGGCATACTTCCTTCAGTACTTCAGGTGGAGACACACCAAAAAGACCAGCCAAACCTGTTGCACTGGATTAAACATGTAGAATGGTTTCTGCTCTTGTTTTCTTGGGCAATACAGATCCTCTGAAATCATTCAGCAACATCTCCTTGCATGAACTAAAAGAAAGCCAACCTGCATGTTTTCATAAAGATGAATATTTATTTACACCATCATGTATGAATATACCTGAGTGATAGGTTTGTCCACAAGGCTCAAATTCAATATTTAAAACATATATTTACAAAGTCAAAGCTTCAAGCATCATAGGATTGTTAAAGTCGACAGAGTTAAACATCATGTGACCGATATTTGACCATAGCCCTTACACTAAACATTACAGATGCATCCTGCCCTTTTTTATTAAAACCAATGTAATTGCTCTGAGAGTCAGTTATAGCTAACTCTGCCAGATGTTCCTTCTCAGTTAAACGCAAATGATATAGATACATATATACAGTATAATTATTCTTTCCCTGATCAAGAGACCATTATATCAATGCTGTTCCAAAAAAATGTATCTCTATTTATCCATTTGTTTTTACTTTTCTATATCATTTGAACACACCAGCTGTCCATTATCTTATATGACAATTTCATCATGAATGGACTGATAGATGTGCTCCAAAATCACAAGGAATAAAGTCACTTCACATTCATTTTAAAATTTAAGAACATTTTTGCCTTCTTGTTCTATTTTTTGAGATGTTTCTTTTTTGAACAGCAGTGTTATGTTATCTGTGTTATTATGCCATGTTGTATGATGTAAAGGGAAGGTTATCAAACTATTTGGTAACAGTAAAATAAATTACTTCAATCTGATTAGATAGTACAGGTTCTCTTATGCACAGACTACACTATGGTTGGAATCAGATGTTCTTTCAAAGCATGAATCTCAATCCTTCATGCAGGCCACTGCTGCAATCTCTTCATTAGACAGTCAGTGCAGGAGGAGTGCTGTGGCTCAAGCAGCTGTAAACAGTCATTTAGTTTAAAAGATCTTTAAGAAACCTTCAGATGAAGGGTTTAAAAGTTCAGAGGAAGTTCAACGGTGATGTTTAGGAAGACAGAGGTGGGTAGTAACTAATTCCATTCACTTATTTGCATGGACCACTTAGTACAATCTGTACTTTCCTTTTCCAGGCAATAACTTCTCTAATCAAGTATTTCTACCTGATTTTAATCCGTCACATTTTTTAGGTTCCGTTTCATTTGTTTCGGTTAGTTCACACCTCTTTCTTTGGAGCTGTAGCTCTTTATTTAAGACCAAAAAGAGAAGGACAACACCTAACATGCAGTTCTATATGGAGCTCAATACCTACTTCAAACTGAGACACTATTTGATTGATGGAACAACACTTACTCAAAGTATTCTTACAGAAGAAGAACGTAAAGGTGGGAGTGTGTAATTCTCAACCTGTGTGCTTGGGTAGATAAACGGATAGAAATATTACTGTTATATCGCCTTCATAAAGCCTAAAGCAGGGTGGCCCAGCAAAGGGTTACCAAAATCACTTAGAATAAAATCTCTTTACAGTAAATTACATGAAAAGTTAAGCCCTCTCCTGTAAAGTTACCATTTTGGAGATACTTGCTTTTCTTTGGACAGTGATGATATTCATATTTTGTATTTTTGTATTTAAGTATGTATAACAAAATATAGTGTAATTTTATAAATACTTTTTAAAACCTGATTTAAAACACACTTTCTTTATTTCTATGCTATTTATTTTATCAGTGTTTTTGGCTCTTGGTCCACCACAAACACTTTGCCCCATTCAGACAAAAAGTTTGGGCACCGCTGGCCTTGAGTTTTATTTCTGCATCTGTCTCTGAAGCATTGTTCATCTTAGGGAAGTAAGTGTTATAAAAGTGTTACCTTTTAATATTTTGGCTTTTGATAGCATAAGTACAGTATGTTTGTGAGGAATCTACTTTTTCTACAGCTTACATTCCCTTATGAAAAAGATCTTTAGTAATACTGCAGGATTTCCATAACTTACAGTACTTAGACAGTTTAACGACCTATAAACGATTTATAATAGACAATCACTGTAGTTAATACTACGTCAGTATTATAGATTATAAAGGGATTATGCAGCACTATGTTAATCTGGTCGTTTCTTACAGTCTCACTCTTCTCTCTGTAGGAGTTTTCATACAGTTACCTCTTTTACCCTTTAATAGCTTTTGGGGTGGTTTCACTTCATTCTGTCCTGAGTCATTATTTCACTTTAGCTGCTGCTTGGGTAGGCTCTCGCTACCCCTACCCACCTCTGCACCACACAAACACCGTGTTTCACAGATCTGCGTCGTAGGGTTTACCGTTGTATGACGGGTTCACGGTTCCTCTGGACTGGCTCTTAGCTCTGGGGAAGTCAAGTTCGTCGTCCAGCGGGTCTCTGGAGTAAGCTGGAGTTGAGGCGCTGCTCGTGGTGCTCGGGGCGTTGGTACGCGGGTAGGGCTCGGGTCTGGGCCTGGCGGTGTACCTGGTCGGGCCGGTGTTTGCTACGGGCTTTTCTCCGCGGTTCTTCCCACCGCAGCACCTGCAAACGCCCACGAAGAGCACGGCGCCGGCCAGCACCTCCATGATGCCCCCGATGTAGCCCAGCACGATGCAGTAGCCCACCGTGATCCCTGGGCTGTTGGGGTTCGAGAAGGTCGTGGTGGTGTTGAGCGAGGGCAGCACGTGCGTGTACCACGCAATGGGGATGATTGTCAGCACGCCCGAGCAGAAGATCAGCACGCCCCCGAAGGACGTGAGCGCCCAGCGCGGGGGTCGGTTCCGCCAGCAGCGCGCTCCAGGAGTGACCACCGCGAGCCCGATGAGGGTCACGACCAGCGAGGCCACCATCATGCCCTGCGCCACCGGGATGATCTGGTTGTTGAAGTAGGTCTGGTCCGTGCTGCGCAGGTTGCACGTAACCGAGCTGGACGTGGTGAAGCTCTTGCAGATGTCCCAGATGCCCTGGTTGAGCACCGTGTCGCTCGACTGGCCGGACAGGCCGGTCAGCGTGCGCCAGTTGGGCGCCACCGTACTGGTCAGGTCCAGGATCCAGCCGCACGGAGACAGCACCAGGCCGAAGATGATGATGCCGGGAGTGCGCATTGTCGGTCCCAGCGCGGAGCTCAGCTCGCGAGCAGAAAACAAAACAACTACGAGCGTCCCGCGCGGTGCTTTTAAGTAAATGCGAGGCTGAAACTCTGGGTGGGTCCTGGCGGGGGGTGTGGCGCTTCGTTCCCTAAAGCTGCTTCCGAGCGCGCAGTTTCGACAGCTGGACTGGACTGGACTGGACAGCCACCGCTGGTCATTTATTTCTTTTTTTCAAAGTTCTTTCATGACAGCAGCACAATGAAGAGTTCAGCAGTGAATTAAACGCAGTTCTTTACGACTTGTTCGCTCTTTTTTCAGGTCAGATGGAGGCTGTGTGGCTTCGCCAGCCGAGTTTCGTGAGAGCTTCCCTGAAAGAGTCGTTCCTTCCATTGTACACAGTTAGAAATAAAGGATCTGTGCAGGTACATGTTTCATTCATCAGGGTACAAACAATGTAAATGTTCCCTCAAAGGTACAGCAGTGGTTTTAGGGTCTAACTGTGTACCTTAAGTAAGTTTTTCCCAGTGGAAAAGTTCACATTTCTCCCTTTTCGTAACCTAATATTTAAAAAAAAGAACAGAAAAATAAAATTGAAATTATGTTCCCTGACTAAAGCTCCTTAGATTTAGCCTTGAGGAGACCACCCCAGTGACAAGAGGGGTACTGCCTCAGTGACAGTTTCCTTCCTTTTTTCTGAGAGTGTGGTATCACACGGAAACATCCCCGGTCAATGAAAGTTATTTTATTGTTTGTTTGTTCTCTCATTGTTTCTCTCCACTCGAAAAACTGAGCCAACAGGGTTCAACTCACAGAGCAAACTGAAACTGAACATATCAGTTACAAACTGAAGATATGTTGACATTAAATAAATGATTTGTGTTGTCTTTAAGTAACCGGTTTGTAAAGTTCATTTCAGTGGATAAAAGCCGTTTATGTTGATCCAAATAGAGTTCAGTTCCAACGAAATGTTTCAATTTTGTTCTGTCAACAACTGAAGTTTATGTCGAGGTCATAAAGTCCTTGTAAACTGATGTAAGTTTGATTGAATGAAAATGTGTGGCATCATTAAGTTCGTACAACATTGACATTGTATTCTTTAGTGTAAAGGTGACTTAGATTCACCAGTACTTTTGAGTCTTTTTGAGTCTTTGTTAGTTCTTTACCCAGCGACCCAGAAGGAAAAGCGGCTTAGAAAATATGTGTGTGTGTTAGTTCTTTACCCATTGCTGCTCTTCTGTACACCTAAAACTTGTTTCTCTTTCTTCAACTCAACCGTTCAGATCATAATCCAAGGGTGGATTACTGACCTGGCCAGTTGGTCCAGTGCCCAGGGGTCTCTCACTGTTAGGTTCCTAAGAAGGCCTACAGAAAGTCCACTGCAGATATGTCCAAATGACTATATTAATGAAATAAATGAAGAAAAGGCATCTGCCCTCAGGCCCCGAAACTCAAACACCAGCAATTTTCTTATTTCAAGTTTTGTTTTATTATGAATTCATGCAATATTGTTGGCATTGTTTTTAGGCATACAGGTGTTACAAATCGTCGTGATGTGGACACAGTATCAGCTATCTCACCTCACATTTCTTTCTTTATTTTTTATCTGGTTCTATTACTTCTGTTTTTTATTTTCTATTTTTACAGAAGGATTGTTTTTGTTGTAGGGAGCCTCTCAGGTCTATGATCTATCCTTGTCATAATCTGTGGTGTTTGTATCATCAGCACCTGACAATTTTCAACAAGTTCAAATACTGAACCTTTATGAAAAGGATGAATAGTAATACTACTGAGCTTTCTACAGCAATAAAGACAAACATATAAAAAATCGTATACTGTCCTACAGTATTACTGTACAATCTTTTTTGCAAGGGCAGTTTCCTTAGTCTAAAGTAAACCTAACTGTACAGGGTAGACCAGGGGTTGGCAACCCAAATGTTAAGAAGTGCCATTTTATCCTTTCAATAAAAATCACCTAAAAATCACGCTTCACCTTCAGAAGGTGAAAATAAAAGTACAATATTATCTACTTGACTGCAAGCTGCACTCAAAATCAAACCGCAGAGCAACCAGGACTGGGTCTAGAGATATGTAGAGATGCCACTATTGAGTCCTCTGAGCTCATCTATGACTAGCGGTGAGGATAACCAACATGCATGGCGGCCACTGCCTGGTAGCTGCGCTGGTGTAAAATCCAAGCAGAGATCTAGTTGAATCGTTGAGTCCAGGATCAGGTTCTCCAGAATTCTGCTGTATTGCATTTGCCATGAATGTTTGGGCTGGTTCCAGATCAGCTATACCCTAAATTCGCTAGACTTAATTCAAGAGAGCCTGTTTTTATTGTCAAAATGTCAAAAATATCATTCAAAGAGCAAAATTCTCATACAAATTTATTGTCATACACTTGGAAAACATTTTTGCTGTTCAAAAAACAACTGTGTGGTGGGCTTACATTGAGCCAAATAATTATTTTCATTTGCATGGTGACAGAATGCGAAGTCCTTTGGAATGGACATGGTAATGAGTGAAGAGATGAACAGCTGCCCAGATAAGGAGTTTGAGAGTTTGACAGTCTACATTTAGGGATCAGTGTGCTGGCTACTCAAATATTGTCTAATAAAAAGATCTGTAGTAATACTATAAGAAACTATAAGATTGCAAGATCATTGTACAACATGTCCAACAAATCCAGACCAGTCATTTCACCAAAATGCATTTCAGCTGCAACCAATATAAACACCTAACATTAGCTAAGCAGCCCAGAAATTGAGCCCAAGTGTGAATGAATTCACAACAGCGAAAGGATGCCAGGTGTCTAGTTCAAGCAAATAGGTAGATTTAACAGACAAAATATCCTGGGGACATTTAAATTTTAAATATTTCGAGTGTCCATATAATATTTTAAGGCCTACTACAAGTGTCTGAATTTTACTGTTGAAGTTTTTGCATATTTTAAATAAACAATGGCCAGATCAGGTTATAATATAGTTCAGGTTATAGTACAACATTAATTAAAAATGAAATAATGAATTTTTTTTTCCTGGCCTGCAGATTTGATGAGATTTTTTAATATGGCCCTTTTACTAGTTGAGTTAGACACCCCTGATCTACATTACGCAATATAAACAAAACAGCATTCAAACAAGACTCACTCTTCAATCACAAATCAGCCTCATAAGTGTATGATGTGTTGACCAGTCCATTTCCTTGACTTCTCTGTGGGGAGTTTACATTGTCTTGGGAGAAAACTCCACGATATGGTTCCTGGCTCATGCTGTTCTGGTTCCCTATGTCCCTCTGTGCTATCACTGCCCCAAACGTATTCCTGCTGCGCTTCTCTCCACGGTTCAGCCCATCAAAACATCTACGTATTCCTGCAAACATAGCACCCCCGCCAAGAACTTCCATAAGGCCCCCCATGTAGCCCAGCACAATGCAGTAACCAACACGGATATCTGTAGATGGAGCATTGATATCCTGAAGCATGTGGGTAAACCACGCAATAGGGATGAGGGTAAGGATCCCAGAGAAGAAAATAAGAAAACCACCGACCCCAGTCACAGTCCAGTCTGGTGGTCTGTTTCTCCAACACTTTACTCCAGCTGCTACCACAACCAGACCAATCAGGTTCACCACCAGAGACGTCACCATCAACTTTTGGCCAGTCGTGACCACTCGGTTGGCAAAGTATTCAGTGTCCTGTTGGTTGCAGTACACATTCCTGGATGTTGTGAAGGTCTTGCATATGTCCCACAGTCCTTGTTGCAGCACCAGATCTTGTGGTTGTTTTGTGATATATTGGATAGTACGCCAGCTGGGTGCGACTGTGCTCGTCAAGTCCAAGATCCAACCGCAAGGTGCCAAGACAAGCCCAAAAATCAAAATCCCAGGAGTGCGCATTGGTGGACTGTATAGATTTGATCACTTACTTGTGGAAGTAAACGTGTACAGCAGCAGCAGTAGCAGTGGTACTGGGATGTAGGTTGGAGTCGTGACTGGCTATTCAGCCAGGATGAAAAGTGCCTCCAGTTTCAGCAGTGTTTTATTACAGTCTCTTGGGGAATAAGAGCCGAACTGTGTTAGAGTAGCTTGTGGGGTGATTGGCCCCTGCAATGAATGCAGCAGCATTGTACAGACTTAGTAGGCCTACAAAACAAAACTGCAGTCAAGTGTACCAGAAATTTAGCTCTTAATAGGGATTTCAAAATTTCAGAGTAATCCAATCAATGGAATGTCAACAAAAGTCATTTTGTGAAGTGTGAAATGGTGATATGAAATGGCTCATTGTAGAGAACTGAATGAGTATTTGTATGTTATGTTGATAATGATAAAATAGTGGTAAATCTGAAAAATATATATTTTTCACTACTTTGCCTTACAATACCCTCCTGTCCTCTGTCTTGAGTGTATTTAAAAAAAAAAATTAGGCCAAAACCTTTCAAACCTGGGCTTTTTCAAGCTATTCGCAATTTCCATCATTACCACCTCACTTTTTTTTAGATACTATATTGAAAACCAGCCCACAGTCTAAGAAATGCATTGGTGTGGTGTACTGTCGGCTTAATTCTACTGAAATGGAAGGATGAGTTCCCGCCCACCTTTAAATACTGGATTAGGGATTTAATGCATTACGTGAGTCTAGAAAAAATTTGTTACTCTGTGACTGGTTGTGATAATAAGTTCTATAAGACCTGGCAACCTGTTATGACATACGTAGATAACATGGACTTGATATTTCACATTTTTGAAATTTCCCTTTGAAAAAATTTGTTTATTTGTTTATCTCCTTTTTAATCAATGTCACTTTTCTCACTGTATTATATAATTTTGTGTTTTTATATCTGTGTATGTGTATGTATATATGTGTATATCTATATGAGTGTATACTGGTTGAATGACCGCTTATGGTGCAGTGGTGCAGTGTTGTTGGGAGGGTTTTTGTTTGTTCTCTCATTTTTCTTTTTTTTATTTTAATTTTTTTTATTGTCTAAAAAACAATAAAAAGACCTTGGTTCAAAAAAAAAACCTCTCAAAACTGCCATAAAACAATACCTCAGGCATCAGGTAGCATATTCATAAACATTTTATATAATAGCTTTTGGTGAGGCCTGTCTCATCAATTGCTATTACCGGCCATAGTGTGGGTTACTCCTTAAGGTTACTACATACATTTTCTATACCATGTTTTTCCTTAGAACCAAGTTGCAAAATACAGGGGGTCCTGGGTGGTTTGGGACCCCCTATTTAACTTCTTGGATCCCATGAATGTCTCAAAATCAACATTTTATGGGATCCATGTAAATAAACTTATTGTGATGTTGTCATTGTTTAGCTGCTTCACCCACAATCGGCGAGCTTCTGTCTTTGGCATTCCTTACTAACTAGAGATGCAGCACTGGACTGCCTCAGGGTGGCGCTGTAGCAAATTGATTCACCCAGTTGGTCCTTCTTAGCCTAGCGACTGTAACTATGCCCAGTATACCTCTTTACAATATGCCTTAGCAAATTTCCCAAGACATTGGTGGCAGAAGTGAATTGTCACTCATTTCTCAAACCAAAGACAAAAGTGGTTTGTAAGATCTCAATTAATGTGTGGAAGAGCTCATTACCAAACTAGAAAAGAGCATTTACAGAAGAAAAATTGTTAAACCAAACATTTTGCTGCTATTGAGTTTAGGGTCAGCGCCACTACAGTGAGTGAGCAGCCAGCTAATGCTGGATTAGCAGGCGAACATGCCCCCCCATCTCAGTGAAAATTGATTAAATTTAATGTATAATTTTAATTGTGATTACTAGTGTGGAAAGTCATGAAGGATATTTCATAGAAGTTTAGTTTCAGTTTAGATACTTTAGGCACATAGGTCAATGGCTGTAAAGCGTCTCGAAACTACTGATACATGCCTGTCATTCCTGACAGTCAGATTATGTACCGTGATAATGCTATCTAACAGAACGCCACCTGGAATCAACTTCCTAGTCGTTAGTGGTTGTTACTCAGCAAAAAAAATCCTGGCAGTCCAGATAGTTGGTCTTTCAGGTACAGCAGGTTCGAACAAGGGTAAATCGCTGTACATGTAAGCAATTGTTAATACATTTCTAATATAGACATTCTTGGCCTAAATGTATATGTTAGCAAATGATCTGAATCAGTCAAAATGCCAATGAATAGATAATACCTTGCTGTAATCTGTTTTGTGAATGCATTCTCTCCTTGCTCACAGTGGTAAATTGTATTTGACTATAATACTCTTCTTAAGTCTTGAGTTGAAAGAAAAAAAAGAAACTTGTACCAAGACAGCATGAAGCGTGGAATGAAGCCCAACCTGATTTTCACTGTTGTTTTCTTCCCAGGTTAAGGAATGACGATGCACTAGGCCTACAGTTGTGGAACCTGCTTGTTATTTCAGCATCCATGTCAGCCAGAGTAGCTTTTCTCACATCCAGTTTTGAAAATGTACTGTGCAATATAAGCATAGCTTAGCCAGCCAGTGTTTTCTAAATGCATCCTTGTGTGTTGTTTTGTGCTTGTGGAGTGGCCTGAGTTCAGATCCATTACTCAAGAATGCAAGTGCTGAGAACAGTTAAAATACCTGGAAGTGTTCTTGACCTAAATACAGAGGGTGGTGACTTGCCAGCAAGACTGAATTTAGAGACATGTCTATCAATGCAACATCACTGTGATAACTAATCTAATGTTCATGAAGCTTTCTGTGCCAAAAAGGCCATAATAATACTTTCAAACAATATTTGTATTCAGAAGATATGAGTAAACCATTATCTTTATTAAAGTAATGAAAAAATAATAAAGTAATGAAAATATTCATGGACATAGAGTCATATCACATGTTTATGAGACATTCTCTGTTCACATGTTCCACTTTGTTTATTCTTGCAAAAGTTTCTTCCCAGGAAATTAGGGCCATTATTCCATTCAGTCCAGGCCACCAACCCAGATGTCATGAAGTCTCTACCCATGTACCAAGATTATCCAGAAGAAACCTTCATTTTGTCACACATGGAACAATTTAACAACTCCTTTGCTTAGAATGCATCTAATTATTTAGTTTTTCTTCTTTATAAAACTAACTGCTAAATATTCTACAAATGATTGAAAACAACACTCACTATGATACATACTGGCATGTGTGTTTTCAGCTGAGGGCCCATAGGGCCTGTCCACTTTCAGAGACGTTAAGGCTTTAAGTTTGTCTCCACCTTGTGGTGATTCGAGTAACCTCGAATGCCTTCATCGATCACTGTCGTTGGCAAACTGCTTTATATTAAAGCTGACCCTGATATAAAAGACTTTTTGTACTTGTATGATAAAAAGCTTAGCCTTCTCAGGGTACAGAGTAGTAGTGATTAGTATTGGCATCATTCAACGTGTAAGAACAGATTTTCTTTTCTTAAATGGCTCCTTACTCATAAAAAATATGGTAGATAAAAAACTGGGCCAATGTGTCATATTCCTACAGGCGGTGATTATAAAGTATATTGTATATTATTATATCATGTTATATAAGATGATTCATATTGTGTGATATATCACGAAAAACCCACATAAAACCAGTATTTTGCGTGGATAATTTTGCATCAGCTGTATATATCGTTTGCCCTGGTGTTTGATATGTCTGTATGTTTATTATGACTGTATGTTAACACTGTTTATCTGATCCTGCAATCCTCCCTCGCAAAAGAGATTGTAACCTCAACATGGTTTCAACGTGGATTAAATAGAAGTTAAGTAAATACAAAAAAAGTAAAAGATCCACTCACATAAAATCCCAGAACAATAAAAATGAATGAGGTTACGTTTATCGTTGCCGTGTTCTGTAAAAGACATGTCATGACGGGAACACGTTGGCCCCGCCCAATTCCGGACAAACCCCGCCTCCTGCGCTAGCTCTGGCTCTGGGATTGGCTAACTGTATTTAGCGTCCTGCGCTAGGATTGGATACTAGTCAAGGGTCCGCATTAGTCCTGATCTACTTTCAGACACTTTCTTTTTGCCACCTTTATTGTGTAAGCAATTGCACCTTCACATTAAACGATTTATAGAGCTCTACTTGCGAAAGATGTATTTTGAAAAAACACTGACAGCTTCTAAACACGACTTCTCTTGCTGCCAGACTGATAAAGTATTGTAACTTTTTTTTTATTTACAAAGCTATTGCTGATTTTTTAGCATGTAATGATAAAACAGAACGGTGCAGTTATTAAAATATGAATATTATACGAGCCAGTCCTAAAGCATGACGCCAGAGCTCTCAGCCAATCCTAGCGCAGGACGCCAAATCTCACAGCCAATCCTAGCGCAGTACGCTATACCCCACTAGCCAATATTGTAAAAGGAGGTGGGGCTGGTCCGGAATACAGGTGGGGAAAAAAGAAAGCGAAATTGTGGTTCATCACTGACAGTTTCCTCTTCGCACCAGCGCGGAAAGTGCTCTAGCAGTCGTGGAGTAGCCAACAGTAGCCCAACAGCACCGGGACAGCAAAATGAAGAACTGTCGTCCAGCAGTGAGCCTCTCGTTTGTTGTGTTAGCAGGTAGGTTTGTCTACAAAGTGTTAAGAGGGTTCAGGTGGTTCAGTTCTTTTTGTGAAGTTACTACACGCTACTTTAACGCCAGCGTCGGCCAGTCCATGATGTACATGATGAAACTGACATCTTCAGGGTTGATAGTGAGCTTTGATTATTAAAGCGCTGTCACTGGTTGAGAATGAATGTAATATAGCTTTGTAAGGATGAGCTGATCATCAGATTACAGATATACTTTTGCAGTCATCCAGTCATGAAACATAAAATGAATACTGAAGACTTTGTGTGGTAGTTAAGTGTGTATCTAATGATCTTTCTTTAAGGTTTGATATTCAGTAAAGGATGTGCGAATGAAAAACAGACTTCTTCCGTGGGATCATCACTGGCGCCTTCTTCATCACCACCACTAGCAACAACTTTATATAAGAGCTCATCCACAGGAACTGCTTCTCCGAAAACAACGGAAACTACACATACAACTAACTCGACATCTGCTCATCCAACATCAACTGAAAGCTCTCCACTTCCACAAACTACCTCCACAAATAGGTCAACTACATCATCTCCATTTTCAAGTACCATCTCCCCTCAAAGCTCACAGACTACAGGACATGTCACCTTAAACCAGACAACCAATGGGACAACTACACAATCAGTGTCAACTTTGGCTGTGAATCTCACCACATCAACAGAGCAGTCCAACAGCACAAACACTGAAAATTCAACCACTGCCATGGCAACAGCAGCGCCTACATCAGTGAGCGTGAACTCCACAACACCATCTTTCAATTCAACTACAAAAGAAGTGAATTCTAGTACTGAACGCAGCACTCCTTCAACAAAACCTCAGCGCTCCACTTCAGCCATTCAGGAGACATCAACAAAGATGGTAACGAAAACATCATCGGCGCAAATGAAACCTTTATTAAGCACAATGCAACACAAAACATCAAGTAAGCCAATCAGCGGCAATCCCCCCAAGGCTCTGAGTTCAGGTAAGGCCTCAGATTTTTATCTTTTGGGCCTATACTTTGTGACATTTCTGAAGGCTTTGATTTAACAAATACACTGATGGATGGAAAGGCTACAGACAAAATTTAAAGGCATGTACCTGTTCAGTTTACTCCCTAACCCATTGCTGTCCACATCTGAAATTTTACACTTACTTTGGCTAAAGAGATCACTTTTATCATGTTTTCTCTGTCATACATGACTACTTATTTGTAACAAAACAAAAGAAAATGCAAATTTAATAGTCAGTTAAAGCATGGGATTTACTTATTATGGAACATCAATAAAAGGAATACTGTTGGATGCTTTCCAAGGTATAACCATACAAAATGTCATCATTTAAAACCAGAATCAGAACAAATTTTGTGACATATTCCTAATTATACTAAATTTAGTTCTTGGACATGATTGTGTTAAGATTATAAAGGTCACGTTACTGCTGCTACTATTACTGCTTCTAACGTCACTACTGCTACTACTACTAATAATAATCGTAATTAAAATATATATTTTTTTAACTGAATCTTTCTCGACGCCCTGCCTTGTAGATTTTTAACACACCTGATCCAGATCCAGAAGGGCTTGATAATCAGTACTTGGGGCGAGGAGGTGTGGAGGGGGTGTCTGTAACAGTTACATTTCTGCAATCTGTAAAAGCAGTAATTGTTTTATTGAGCCATTACCCAATGCTGTGATATCATGGGGAGATGACTTGAGGGAAATGTTACACAAAGTTGCTTTGTTTGCAGTTTTAAACATCTCAAACCACAAATTTGCTCTGTAAAAATCCAAAGTATTTTGACCTCAACCAGCATATCTAATATCAAATGTCAGCGTGACCTAGATTGTTTACAACATCATCCATTTACAAATGTTTCTTCTGATGACAAACACCAAAAACTAGAGTCCAGTACTTTTGCATTTAAAGCTCTATTAGCTAAATGCATAGAAATACATAGAAAACTACAGTTTTCAGTTTTATGTTACTGGTAACATTTAAAACTGCAAAAGATAATTTGTCTACTAATATATGAAGTGGTTCCTCAAAATTGAACCATTTCCCAAATGTTAATGTTCACCATGAGTGTACCAAGCAACAGTACAGGATGTGAGTACTTTGTACTCTTGTTCTTATGACTCATTTGTGATTTAAAAAATAAGCTATTCAGATTAACCTTAGGACATGCATTGGTGATTATTCATATGTTAATTAAATTTACCTCCTATATCAGGATGGTACTGGCCTAGGAGCAACCACAGTCTTCTGGGCCTGCCCCACACCTATGCAGTCTGTGATGATCAGCAGCACCTGTTCCTTGTCTATGGACTGATCAGACTACACTTAAAAAGGTGCCACAAAGGGTTCTTTGAGTGATGCAGTAAAAGAGCCACTTTTGGTTCTTTAAAGAACCAAACAAAAAGATGTTTGTGAGTGTGACCAACCTTTGAAAGGCTTAAAGAATCTTCACATTATGGAAAAGTTCTATACCAAGGGTCCTTCCTAGACCTTCTACATTATATTAAGGTTCTTTAAACTTTAAAATGATTATTCACATGCACACATCTCATTTAGACAAATGGTTGTTAAAAGAACCAGCTATTGAAAGGTTCTTTAGAGAATCAATAGTAGTTGGTCTATGGCATTGCAAAGGAACCCTTTCTGGCTTACTTTTTTTGGAATATGTTGCAGGTATCAATCTCATAGTGGGTGTATATTTACAAAAACAATGAAGTTGATCAGGTACATCTGTAAATATATTACCTTTGTACCTTTGTACTGCTTTCGTTTAACTACAGGTCAAATCACCACTTTCTGTGTTTATTAACATTTCACGTACTGTCTCAACTTTATATGAACTGGGTTTGTATATACTGCAGGCCTCCCCATTGTGTCTTGACAGAGTGGTTAGCTGTTGACCTGTTTCTGTAATCTCTACAATGACTTTGGCCTACTATGGCTTGATTTGTTTACTGGATTTATGATTGTATCCTCTTATAAAGATGGTTCTGTGTGGAAGTCCACAATAAAAGCTGATTCGTATTCGCACGCTACAACCTCTGGCTCACCTCTGTTGCTCATGATCCATGAGTTAAAAGAACCTTGGCAATTACATGTGTCTGTTTTTGACTGCTTGCTCATTAGCAGAATTGTGATAAGTGCTTGGCACAGTCCTTGTAAACTTGTAAGATATGGAGATCCTGAATTTGACTCATTCAGTAACCTCATGCTAAGGATTGATACTAACCAGAAGTCAGTTGACAATGCTTTGGCTGTTTTTGTGTTTCCTCTACAGCGAGCGTTGCGGCCATAGTCATCGGGTTCATTATCCTTGTGATAGTCTTATTTGGTGGAGCCTATTATTTCAAAATGAGGTAAGCAAGGTCTTATTTAGTGAGTATACTGCAAGTCATTGCTGTTGGTACAAAATCTCCACAATGCTATTTTTATTGGAGAAGGATAAATGTCCTAAACTTTAATAGAATGTAAATTAATGGGAGTCATTTTGAGCTATTTCAGTTGGTCCATTTCTCATGCTTCAATGAAAGTTGCTTTACTTATGTATTATTTTGGAAAATGTGTATTTGAGTATTATTGAAATTGTATACTTTTATGGCATTTTTCACTGCACAATGTACTAGAAACTTTGGCACCAAAAAACTGTGAATGTGCTTTTTTCTTTTGGCTATCGGTCCAGTTGGCTGTTGGTTCTAGTTTTATGGTTTTTGGTACCTGATCAAGATTGGTACCAGCAGGACCTAATGCTGCTCAATAGTGTTCTTCTCTGCATTTGGTAACACTTGCAGCTTAAGCCAGCAAATCCTTCACTTGTACAGGTGATAACATCACCAAGCACTATACGTGCACCAGAGTGTTAACTAGAATGTTATGTCAGTGTGTGAATTGCTGTTTTTAGAATTATTACTTTGCAAAAAGTTTGTTAAGGTAACAATAAGCCAGTTTGGAAGCTAACGCTAAAGTTATCAGCATTTATGCTAGCCTCTATGCATTTTCCTCATATTTTTACATTCGTCAGAGAAAAATATTTTGTTTTATTCTTCACATAATTCTGTGTAAATGTGGGCAATTGTGTGAGTATGTAAGAGCAGAAAGACACAGCATACTGTATTAGCTAGTGTTAAGCTAAGCTAACTATTAAGCGAGATGGCTAATGCATTAGTTCACACTATCAAGAGAAAACAAATGGGAGTTTTGCTTCATTCTACCTCAGTCTGAGTGAATGAAGATGTTTTTTGACTGTGTGCATCCGCCATGGGCCATGCTGCTGTGAGGAGCTTAGGGGGATGTCTCTTGGGGGACATCCCACTCCCAGTTTAAAAAGGAACAGTTGTAGCAGTTGTGGTTGTTGCTAATGTTGTTAGCTGTGTTGCTTGGTGTAAATTGTGTCCGAGGAGGGTGGGCTTTGCAGTTATCTAGTGGTTAAAAGTGTCTACCCTCCTTAAATGCCGTGTCCTCCAGTATCACCCCCTTCCTGCGTTTCATGTCGGGAAGAGCTGGGCTGGGCATTTCTTGCTGCTTGTTGAAGTGCCTGTTCAAAATAAAAGAGCATTTGCCTGTATGTGCAGTGTTTTCCAAGTCTTCTTCTGCGCAGACGCTGCAGTGTTAGCCAGTTAATAGCAGTCATTCTGATGGTTCCACTTGGTGGAAAATGAACTAGAACTAGAACTATAAGTTTTGTTTTCCCTTTTGGGTCATTTCTTGTTTCTGAAAATGCAGTAGAAATACCAACTTACTCAATTTCATTTCCAAGAGGAAAAAAACATACTTTCTACTCTGTACATTTTCATTCAGGCCTTCAAATTACTTGTTAGAAATTTCAAGCTGCCCACAGCTATGCTAATTTGTCTGTGTGTGAGGACCAGTACCGCTTCTTGTAGACACGGCATCACACACCACCAAAGAAAATGACTTTTTTACTGTTATATACTTGAGTATGTGCAATGTCTGTACTTGTCTGTACTTAAAGAACACTGACCAATTGCTTCATTACAAAGCATTTTTTGTGATACAATTAGCATATTTTGTCTGTGTCAAAAGTAAAAAAAAAGTAAAAATGTAAATCCTCCAATGTAAAGTGCAGCTGGCTTTTTTCAAATAATGTAAAAAATAAACACAGAAAAAAATAGTTGAGGTTTTGATATGATACTGGCAAAGTTTTCCATCTTTATATATCTCCTTCTTCTCTATTGACGCAAATTAGTTTCCTGAATGATTAGAGAGCTTGAAAGTTCACATGTAGTATACTCTGTTATCAGCTTGTCCCAATCAGCTGTCCAATAGCAGTTTAGGTTACATTCTTCTATGTTCATTTACATGTCATAAAATGTTAACACATTCCAGTAAACAATTGGTCAATAGTGGAGATCTGGGTTATGAAGTTATAGATTAACCAGTAGTCCATGTCCTCATGTGTTCTGTCTCTCTGTGACAGGCGACCTTCTTACGGCCGTCTTCTGGATGACGCAGAGTACGGATCAGTGGGCAATGTCCTCAACCCCATGTTTGAGGGCTAAGGGAAGAACTCACCCTGCTCCAGTGATCTTTATTCAGGTGCCAGCATTTGGACTGTAGGAGTCCAGATCATCTACTCCCATCTACTGCTTTGGGCAAGAAGATGCTGTGCGATCTGACAATCAGTGCCGTCTGCTGTTTTTCTCATGAATGTGATATTGTGTGATTGTTATATACAACCACATCACTGGATATGTAAAATGTGAATTTTATTAGAAATGAGTCAATAGATTTGAAGTGATAAATGATTGAAAGCTTTTAAAATTTTTAATTACTTTGAAAATTCACTGCAAAAAAATGATATATTGGCAAGTGAACACATCTTAAATCTAGTCAGTATACAGTTGTATGCAAAGTTTTGAACAGGTTTTGAGATTACACGTTTTGTTGATTTTCTAAGTGAAAGTGCACACATCCTCTACAGAGAACACACTTCTGCATTTTTTAAATGCACAATTACAGTTTATTTGCTGAATTAAACATATAGACTGAAAATTTCATTTTGTATTTTTTATCCAATATATTTTTCCATTTTATTTACAGTATAATTAGCCCAGCAAATAAATAGTGCTCAGCAAATGAATATGCTCTAAAGTGCTAAACTGTGCACTAAAATTTGCAGAAATATGCTAAATTGTGTCCCTTATAGAGGATGTTAGCTTATTTTCATATGTCACTTGACCAAACTTTTACATATGACTGTATCTAATATCTCTCAATTCTTACTATTAGTAAAATTGTCTTATACTATTGGCAGATCATTAGGGGTCCAAGCGAAAAAGGTGCTGGATCTCTATTGGTTTTGCTCAGGTTTGCATAAATTATTTTTCTTGCCTAAAACAAATTGTGCAGACCAAACCATAAGACCTACAAGCATGAAATATGTTCAGTAGGCACTACTTCCTTCCACTACTCAGGCACATGAAATGAACCCGACTAGCTACAAAAGAGTATTTTACATTTTGGCCCACACCTTCTACATTTTGCTACATCTTTGAGCTGACTTTTGAGTAGGTTTTTTAAAGATAACCTGATAATTGTAAAACTGGAAAAGTTTAGTAAAAAAAAATTACACTTCTTCTATCATAAATAGTTTGAATAAAGACCATTTCAAACTAGTCTTTAAATGTAATCGCCACATTTGAATTAATCATTGCAGCCTAGGCACTTCTGAATTAAATTTCCAAAACTCAAAAATTGTTAGCCTCATCATCTCAAAATTTAAACTTGATATATGAATTCAGATTCAGATAAGGCATTCACAGTTTGACCCAGATTGGCCTTCAAGGGGTGCTACAGGGCACAATGAGACTGAAAATAATTAAAAATCCAATTGCTATTATTTTCTTCTTCAACTTTTTTTTGCAGCTGCAAGTTATGTTAGAAATTTGAATGCTTGTCTGCCATTTTCGCTCATGTTTAATTTCTGCAGCTTAATATACCAATGTCACTAGGTCAGTCTGTACTAAACTTGGTCAATAATCATAACATATAAAGTACTTTTGATAAAATCTGACTCCCTATTATTAATTGTCTGTGAAAAGGCCCGCGTTCAACATATCAGACCTCATTGAGCTGATTTGTGTTTGGACCCCGCAGATTGCCGCTTGCCAAGATATGATTTTTTGGAGCATAGATCAGGTGTTAGATATTAGATATGTTTTTGTGCCTTTATGTGCATTGTATATGTTATTAAAAATTAATTTATGGTTTTGTTTTTTGTCATTCGTTACTTAATGCACCAGTCTGGTCAACCATTGCAATTAATAATGATCACACTCATTGAAATGTGCCCTGTGTAAATAGTTTACGTATCATTGTATTTTCATTTTAATCACTTGTCATTGTATTTGTGATTCCTGAGTGTTTAAAATGGTTTTAACCCTTAATGAAGGTTTCCTTTTTTGTGCAGATTACAGCATGCTTGTGTATTTTTAAAATGTTATTCTATATATCATCATCATCATCAGTTTTTATTTATATAGTGCCTTTCCTGTGCTCTAGGATGGTATATAAGAAATAGAGACCAGCACAGCACAGCACAGAAAGTCATGCAGTACTGTAATATTCATTCAGAATGTACTCAGCCTCTGCTAGGTTAGCCTCAGTGAGCTAATCAGCTTTCCAGGAAAATTTGTTTTGCACAACCTTTGAGATGTTTGAACAAAAAGTACATAAAATTGTAATAGTTGCTTTGTCTGGCTGTAAATTCGCTTTAATCATTGTGCAACTCATCCGCAACAGTTGCAAGAGTCTCAGCCCAAAACAGATTTCATGAAACAACCAATCAAAACACCCATCTTCCAATCAACTGACTCCAGGTTGGTAGTTTTCCATTTTGTTTCCTAAGCCATGACAACAAATATGAGTTTGTTAAAGCTTTTTAAAATGCCTGCTCGTGGCACCATTTATTCTTCTAGCCTGCTGATATTGTTATCTACATAGATTCAGATTCATTTTCTCCTCACATGATGCTTGAGCTTAGATTATTTTAGAATAAAAATGATGAACATTTTTACAGAAGAGGAGATCGAGATGCACTCTTTGATTAACTTCTTGTGCTTCTAGGACAGATTGAGTGAGATATCAAGTATACTATAATCATTATGGTAACCCGAATATTAATTTTCAAAGGCTTAGCATATACACAACTTATATATAGTAAAGAACCACACATAGATAAAATACAGATATTGCACGGAAATTATGTTGCAGGCAATGCACAGCATGCAACTAGTTGCATGGAAGTTTCGCTGCGCAAAGCCAGCCTTAAGTTGGTGTGGAATTCCCTGAGGAGAAATGGCAAAGCTAAGTGGACAAGCGTTCGTTAAAACCAGTATTGAAATGGATGGTAGATGGTGGCATTCTAATCAGCACATCTTAACATTAGTGGAGACAACAGATGAGACAATGTTCCACGTTTTGGGTCTTCAAAACCAGCACATGTGCGCATTGTAAATGTGATCTGATTCCCCCAAATCTCCTACCTTCCTGTTCTTTTCACTTCATGGTATCATCACAGACTCATAATCACAGCTGTGTTCCTTCACTTTCCCGCCCTCCATTCATCTTAAGACAGTCTGTCGGTTGAGAATAATTTTTTTCAACCTTCAAAAAAACGAACAGATGAGAGTTTTATTTGCTTGTCAATATAATGATAGGGATTAACAGATAGCATGCAATTACACATGGAAACGGTCAAGGCTGTTATTAGAGACTAAAATAAAGCACTAAGCAAGAGGAGGAGATGGAGTCACAACATCTGGCCATCTGATGGACTCAGTGCTGCTTGTAGCAGTTCTCTAAAAGAAACTGTTTTGTTCCTCTCTCTTCCCAGTGAACATGCTACATTGTTTACTGACTCATTTACCACCTCTGCTTCCTGTTCGACTTACAACCTGATTCTAAGCACAATTTCAAACCACATGAAACGTCAACATGTTTTTGTAACCCTGCTAAATAGTGTTGTAATATGCAACAATACATGTAAGCAAGTCTCTGTGTACAGTTATGGAGATGATCCTGAGCAACTGGGAAAATAAAAGGTGGGCAGTGTTATAAAAGAGCAACAGGTTGTTTTGAAGCACTGCATAGTTGATGAGCCAGAAGCTTTTGGGCAAGAAAGCCATGCTCTTCCTGTGTGAAAACAACGTCATCTTCATTTCCGTTTTGTGTGGTAACTGAAACCTGCTTTGGCCTTTAGAATGAAGAGATTTAAAGCAGCCCTGGTTGATAAACAGTATTCATTCACTGAATATAAGGCAGATATTTTAACATGTTTTAAATCATCAAAGTTATTAGAATTAGGGTTCACATTTTACTCTTAAGACATATTATTCTGTAGCTATGATGAACTATTCAATCACAACTATGAAATGAAGAACTGAAGTTTAGAGGTACATGCAGGCCCCTAGGGTTTAAAGTGGGAATCTTTCTAAATTTCTGCATAATTATTAGTTGGTAAAGCAAAGTAAGCAAGATAAACAAAGGTAATTCAGAGTGGTTTAATGTGAAATGCTCCATTCTAGAAAAGGAATTGCTTACAGTGGTGATGATAAGTCTAATAAGTCTAAAGTCTTCTTTAGTCTAATAAGTCTAAAGAATTTAATCCCTTTAAAAGCTACCTCACAGACAGTTATTACATGAAATGGTTATTAAAACATGAGCTGATACCTGAGACAGAATGTAATGAGATCTGTGAGTGTGAGGAAACCTTTAAAGTTACTCAAAAGTTCCATAACAGTTAAAGGTTTTTCCTACAACTGCAGGTCCCAGCCAAGAACTATTATTTTTAAGAGTGTACCATCAAATAAACATCATTTTTTTAAAAAATTCAACGTATTATCAATAATAGTCCCATGTAGTTTGGGTTTAAGTACTGGTTAATATTTGATGTCAAAGTCAAGATTATTTTTTCTCAAACAAGGGAACAGTGTGATGCATTAACTATTTCATAAAAGTGTTTAAAACCCAATCATTTGGATTTACAGTGAAGATTTAAGAGTCTAAGGGGTTAACATGCTCTGTGAAATGCATTTGTTCTCATGAGCACCCAGTGAAAGGTGCACACATTAATGAAAGCAGGCCTGACTGTGTGGTTAAATCACATAGAGGAAACTCACACCACTAATGAGGGGGTGCAGAAGGGAGAGAGCCTAATAACCGTAATGATGACACATGTGGCTGTTGTTCCTCTGACACTGTTGTTCTTGCTGTACGTGTCCTTTAGCAGTGTGTGCGTGGTGAAACATGACACAATTACTGAAACGCAAAGTGAAATAAAAGGCTAACTAGAATTAAACTGGGACACTACCGTTCAATGGTTTGGTGTCTTTAACAGTACGAAATAGGGATTGTGCCAGATAAATGTATAATATGATTCTTATGTACAAGAACTGTGCAACTTCACAAGTTTGTGTAATTCCAAGTAATTAGCACACTGTCAGAATAAAAAAGTACTGTATTGGTACATCTTTGTTTCCTGTGGTATAAACAATGTGAATGTGCTCTGAAAGGTACAGAATAGTGCTTAAGGCCCAATGTGTAACTTAAAGGAGAAGTATTTTACTGTTTCTCTCAACTGAATATGCTTCTCTGCACTCTTTGAAAGACATCTGTCATGAGTGGGCGGTGCTTTAGTTCAGCTTTTGTATAGTGTGTTGTAACCTAGAATTTACTCATCTGTGAAGAAAGGCTTGTTTTCTGGGCTTTGATTCTACATTCAAATGAGAGGTCTCTCATTGGATGATTCCATGGAGGGTGTGACTGGGCAAAACATTTGTGGGGGGGGGGAGTCATCATTGTGTTGCTGTGTATAGTTCGAAAATGACTGCGTTGGGAGGCAGTACAGCCAGAGC